ATTATTTCACACTGTTTTTAAGGTGTTTTACTTACTAATATTTTATTTTCCCACATTTAATTTTGAATACCTTTAGCTTGGGTCGCAAAACCTATAAAAACTGAAAACACGGCTATAAATTAGTTAGCTCAAAATTAAAACACTAATGAGAACAAGAAACGAGTTTTATAACCAAAACTGATTGAAGGTTGAGCGGCGCGCGCGCTGCAAATCAAAGATGGCGGCGCTGCGGGAGGCACGCTTTAATTGTCGAGCTGTACTTGTAACTTATGTTTTGTTGTGGAGCCTACATGCACCCTGCGGCAGTACGGATAGCAGAATAATGAATTAATAAGTAAGTTCCAGCGAATACGTATAATCTTCAAGCACCTACTGCAGTGTGTAGAGCAAAGAAAAAAATACAAACTCACCATGTCGACCTCTTCGCAAATGGCAACCTGGATACCCTTGAGCCTCTCCAACCTCCTAAACAAAAACCACTAGCCATAGGGTAGTTGAAGAAATCACCAATAAATTGACATAGTTACTACTACCTACCTACCCACTAGCTGAAAAAAGCGATTCCACAGTAGACCCACAGTACCCACTGTGGATTACATAAAAACACGACGCCCACAGATTTATTATAGTTAGGTAGTATTTTTTTAAATGGCAACAGGCTGTTAGTTCGTCATAAATCCCTCATTTGAAGGTTTTTTAAAGAGAATTTGTGTCCTAAAATTATTGAATTAAACAAGTTAGTTTCATTCGATAAACCTACAAGTAGTTTTTGGACAGTACAACAAAGTACCACGTCAGTCGCTTCCGCGCTGCCACTCGGCATCAGTATTCGAAGACTTCTGTATTACTTAAACCAAATGCAATCAGAATCAGACGCTGTATAGATCAATTGCGTTTTAGATAAAACACGAATAACATAGAACCTGAAACCTTTTGAAAGCTCTCTAGAATCTAGCCTAGGAAGCTAAAATTCATCTAAGTCGGTAGAACACAAGCTAACCATTTTTAATCAATGACTTAACTTACGGTCCATTTATGTATCTAGTTGAGTTGATTCTATTTATTGAAGTTATTTTGATGCTTCGGTTCAAAACGCCTTCTTCTACGTAAGTAATGATCCCCTGGCGGACTGACGAGAAATGATGGAAATACTCGTAGCGTTTTATTTGTTAAGAACTGCCAGTGCTCTATCGACTGTATTTTTTTAAAAGAGAGCTCTTGTCAACTCTACTCCAGGATCAAGATTATGCTTATTTAGAGCATTTACCCGAAGAAAATAAGTACCTTGGTAAGTAGTGTACTACTTCGCAATGTGGATAGAGGAATAAACCCGCGCGCAGTAGCCGCGTTGCGCTGCGCTTGTAACTTGTAACTCATTCATCGTTGCATGTTAATGGTTGTTCTCGTCAGCCCTTGAAGTATTAGTGGCCGGTTATATCAATAAAGTTCTATTGCTAATGTTAGTTTACTAGGTACATGTTTAAGTAGGGTTCCTCCTACAAACAACGAAAATGGTCATCTTCAATTATTTTGAAGCACAATTTTAACAGTACTTAAAATAAAGGAAAACCAGACTTTTTTCCTGGATATGTCAAAATTCGTGGTAGGTTAGGCCCTTTTTACATGGCACTTAGGTTTCCACTAAGTCCAGTTTCCCAGTTTAAGCTGCTAAAAATCTCATGCATAAAATCTCACATCGTTCCCCGGGAATCCGTATCCATCCACCGCAGTGTCAAATACTGTCGACACACGACGCACTGCTTTGAAACCTTGATACATTAAAACCTCACTGTCTTGACAGTTCCAGGCAGGAATCCCGTCCATAATATCAGTCAGAAAACAAAACATTTATCTAATTCAGTCGACCATCAGTAAATCAGGTGCGGACCGCGCGGTAAAATATGGCGGCCACGGCGACATCCATCGCGGCAATTTACATACTTCAGTGCGCCGGCGCATTCCCACGCTGCGTCTTAATATCGGCCAAATTAAAGGCTTGCGTCGGATAAGAATTCGACCCATATTAAACGTTATCAAAAGGGAATTAAGAAATTAGCCACATTTTTCGGCTTTTTTCGACTCTCTTTTATCCTGAAATTATCACAATCTTCTCGGATACACGCCGGTTTTCGTACCAAAAGTAATGAGTCCAGTAAATGTTTCAGGAATAAAGCTGCAACTTGAAAGTCAATAGTAACATTGTTTTAATGTTTTAATTGGGTTATTGTGACTTATATGAACAGTTGGTAAATATCCCATCATGACCTATCCAGGACTTGGGCGTGGATGTAATTCCGCTCATGAACGCAACACTGTTTTTAAGAGCTTGATACTTACTCGTATGCTCATTTCCTATGAAACCTTGGAAACGACCATGAGTCCATGATGCATGCTGGCATTTGCATGATTTTAGCATGCATGCATTCATGTCGCATTCGCATTGAAGGGAAACAGTCGCCTTTTCGCAAACCGAATAAAATCTACACCTTTTTAAGAGATAAAGCAATCTTTTTGCCGGCGACATGAAAGCTGCATTGTGTCCGGTATTTGCATGCCAGGGGCTTGTTCACAATCATTCTATTCAGCTGCGCGCGCGCAACTTGTACTCGCAAATGAGATGGGGACAGCCAAAGACATGCTCGGGCTTGTATACTTTTACTTTACTTGATTACGATAGCTTGCTGACTCTATTGAATTATTTATATCTAGGTACGTTACTTAGCTTAGAATATTAATTATCGCCCGTATTCACAACATTACTATGAGTCGCACAGTGCGCGTGGACGCAAAGGGTGACACACGAACCAATCCCAGAGCTCTATTCAACGCTGTGCGTTCGATTTGCTGCTTCATTTAATTGTTTGTGTGATCGCTGCCTAGCGATAAGACCGTGTAAGTAAAGAGAGCACGGTTGTCTTTTCAATTTGCTAGGTATTTCAATAATTTGTAGTTTTGTAGTTAGTTAGGCTTTAGACAGCAAAATATTTTTGAAAATAAATCTAAAACGAGTCGCGTCCGAAGTTCCAAGTTCCGAGGCGGCTTCAGTCAGTGATATTCGGCCTTCCTTCACAGATCCTACACAATGCTTGTAGCAAATAGAGCAAAAGGGTGAGCCGCCAGCGACGTTGCGGCGGCCCTTTGGCGCGGATTTGCATCCAGCGTCCGCCATCTTGGTTCTTTTTGGCGCGAACGCGCGGCCTGGGGCACAGTGAGAGAGTATTCTACTGAGTTTGGGAGATAAAACTTCTATTCTCTCTTTAAAAAAAACCAGATTTTTTTTAAAGAGAGAATAGAAGTTTTATCTCTGGATCTGGATTCGTTACCGTCATGAAATTAAATGACAAGCTGTTCAGAATAAAAATTTTGTCACAACCTCAAGCGTCCACCAGTTTCCATAAATTACGTTAACGAAACGACATTTTATCAGCAACCACAAACAGTATGTGTTGCTTTGTCAACTACAATATTCGTGGGCCTCGCGGCATATTGCTCTTGTCTCCCTCACAATCCACTAAGAAGGTGATAGCAATCACAAATAGTGAAACATGCTATTTGACAGGTTGTTTAGTAGAGCAGGTGCTACTTTTTAATTCTTAAAGGTCTGAAGCTGTATATTCTAAGTGTCCAATTCACAAACCTACATATAGCTCAAAAATAATATTCCTACCGCTGCAACTCCTGTTTAGCCACGATTTTAGGATTCCTGTCAACCAAAATTGGACATCGTTTCCACTCACTGTGCCCCGCCCCTTACTCCGTCGTCTGTCGCTACATTCGGGAGCGCGGGCGCATAAAGGAGCCGCCTTCAATTATTATTCACTTATTATTTCGCTACGAGCGCCGTGATGCGTATCATACCAAATACCTACCAATTAAGATTGTCCTTTTCATCGAGCTTGTACCTCTGACGAGGTCCAAGTCAAGGCTGCGGAGTAAATGGCTTAAGTTCAAAAATAAAGTAATAAGAGTTTGACTACATAAACTGGCACCAATAAATGGTTTTAACGTCAATAATATTGGTTTGTAGCTTCCATGCCTACGGCTCCACCCGTGTAACTTGTTTTACACAGAATTTTAAGGTAAAAAAATGAAGATTAAGATAGACATAAAAATGGATTTTTAAAATAAGGTCATGCACAATGAAATTTTCTATTACAATTTGTATCTTTATTATTAAACATAAATGTCTAACATTCTTAAATTCTAATAAGTAGATAGATAAATCGCACATTATCACAATCTCTGGAAATTGTAAAATAAAGTAACAAGTCCATTTACATAGTACAAAATTCAAAGTTAAGGCTGATACTGAGGTGGATGACAAAATAACCAATTACCTACTAGAAACAAAACTAGTATTACTTACTTATTACAAACACTGTAACGGAAATTAAAAAATGTGAAAATATTCTATTGATTTTCAACTTAGTAGCCATCTCAATACTTAACTTATCAAAAGTTATACAGTACTTATTATTATTCTGTGGTTATACTGACTTATATCTCACTACATTTAGAGAGAGAGGTAGTCTTTGAGCGCTTTCACATAATACAGGGTGTCCCAGAATGGATGAATAAAACTGCTAGGGGAGGTGGCTCTAATAATGTACTATCCCTAAAAAATATGAACAAAAATAAAGCGCATAAGGACACAAAAAAAATGTTTTTGAAAAAGTGAAAATAAATCAGCTTTGCCTAAGTATCTGGCTATAATTGCTGCGTTTGGAGTTTATTTGTACTTTTTTCTTACTAATATTAATTGTACATGATCGCTTCGTTTATCTGTAAACAAACTTTTGAAAATAATGACAAGATTTCGAGTTTAGAGCACATTATTTAAAAAAAAAATCCGAACTCAATTTTTTTTTTTCATATTTTTAGTGATAATACATTAGTAGAGCTACCTCCCCTAGCAGTTTGATTCACCCATTCTGGGACACCCTGTATATGAATGCGCTCTATCTCTTTCTTTTCTTTAATTCTATTCGTCATTGGGCCCACAAACATTCTATCCTCACATTTTAGTTCCAGCACTTCACCAAAAGTTCGCTCACATGCCAGCTGCCTCCCTTCTCATCTCGGGTCATATAGCGCGGGAGTACTTGGCGACGACGTCCCTGTAGAATGCAAAGATGACCTCGCTGGCTGCGCGACACTTGGCCACCGCTTCGAAGTATGTGCCTTCACTGTACGTGCCTTCGGAGAAACCTGGAACAAGGTAGTGTTTTTTTTTTATGCAAGACAACGGGACTATTCCCACCTCTCGTTCCCACCACTGCAACTCCTGTGTAGCCAGGATCTACAGCTTGACCGGCACAAAAACCCAACCAATGAAGGTCAAGTTTGTCCCGGGGGAAAGTTAAACTGTCATTGGACCCGCAACGAAATTAATCAGAAGAACATAGGAGGAGTTCGAAATTAAGGTTCGACTTCCCTCCATTGCAAAGCGGATGACAGGTGACAAACAAAGGTTTAAAACCTTCAAGAAAAGATTTTGCACCACGGACAATAAATTAAATTAAGGGGGCCTATCTTATGAGCAATTAGCAACTACCTGCCAATAATATTTTTCACAAAATCGCTTAAAAGCACTCAAACAATCGCTTATGCAAGACAAGGCATGTATTTGACCGCAATCGCACCTGATGTTAAGTGAGATGCAGCCAGGTTGATGTTAGCCATGAATACCAAAGCGGGGCGGAGCATAGTGTCAGGCGGACGAATTTCTTCTCTAGAATTTCGGCACGCAGCACGGAGCGTTTTCCAAGCGAAGCACAGACAAGAGATGTGCTTTGAATAACCAATTAGATCGTTATTTCCAAATATCTCCGCTCAGCTTCAGTGGAAACAGATCGAGCAGAAAGGAGAGGAAATGTATCTGGCGGACTTATTTTTCTATATTTTGATTCTAAATAATTTCTCCGCTACGTTCTCCCAGCGCCTCTCATACCCGAAAGCGTCATACCATTCGTAGACAGCAATAGAATGACAGCTGACGACTACGCATAGCTCACATCTCTCTTCTCGTCTCCTCTCCGCTCCGCTTTGGTGGAAATAACCTGCCAGCTTCGCCGCACATTTCTCTCATCTCCACTTTGCTTTCGGCCGTATAGGAGCTGCTCACAATACTCACAAGTGATCAAATTCCTGTGAACCCCATCGAAGACGCAGCTGATGTCCACCCCAGAATGGTCTAGGGCCCACCCCAGAAAATCTTAGAAATAGTAATTTTACACAGTTTATCATCATTTACATACTATCAAACTGGAATTGGAAAATAACCCTAGATAAGCCAATGGATAAAAAACTACTCACAAGTGATCAGACTCCTGTGAACCCCATCGAAGACGCAGCTGATGTGGGCCGCCAAAATTCTACGTGCTCACGGACCAGGCTTTAGCTACCACCATCTACTACTAAAGTAGTAGTAATGTTAGCAGCATTGTATTCCGGCAGTCGGTAGTAAAATATCCAGCTCCTGTGGTTGAGGATTCTGGGTGAGGCTCGCTTCCACCATCGGCCTGAATCTTCCTCGAGCTTCTTTGTTGTTGATAAAAACCCTAAAAAATACTCACAAGTGATCAGATTCCTGTGAACCCCATCGAAGACGCAGCTGATGTGGGCCGCCTCCCCCCGCCCGCCCCGCCGTACCTCCCCTCGCGCGTCAACTGAGCACGACACGCACGCGAACACGTGACGCATCGCTACTCCAGAGTTGAGCAGCGCTAGGCACGCGCAGCTCAGGAACTGCTAGGAAACGCCTTGAATACTAGCCGCCTCGTGCTTTGGCAAAATGGCGCCGACCCTAGCAGGTCATATTATATCACACTCACACAAGCATGATAAGTAACTACTAATCGCACCCCCCAAGGCCAACTCATAGCAGGCGCAGATCCAACCCTCGAAAAAGGTTGTGGGCATAGCCACCAAAAATGAGCAAAGTGAGAGTTGGATCACTACATGCCCGGACATACATACATGCCTATCGATCTTATCAATAGATCATAATTAAAACAAGCAAATTAGGGTTGTGGGCGCTAGGCACGCACAGTTCAACGCGTACGACATGTGCTTAAAAGGGGTCTTGTTCTAAGTCCGCCTGACCAGCTACAACGATCTTACCTTAGTCTGACACTAAAACAACAATGTTAATACAACCGTGACGTCACATCGACGCTCTGGTACGGACGCGAACACGTGACGCATCGCTACTCCAGAATTCAGCAGCGCTAGGCACGCGCAGCTCAGGAACTGCTAGGAAATATCTCGAATACTAGCCGCCTCGTGCGTTCGAACGTACTACCGATTGGCAAAATGGCGCCAACCCACTATATCTATATCTCACTCTCGGACGTACTGCCTATTTACAAAATGGCGCCGACCCTAGCATGTCATATCTCACTCACACAAGCATGATAAGTAACTACTAATTAGACTGCCTCGTGGCCAACTCAGGGGCCAGACCCCCCTGGAAAATTACACTAGATACCTACGCCAATGGCGCACGATAGAAACTAAAGCCCGGTCTGTGAGCACGTAGAATTTCGTCCAATGACCCCTAGCGTAATTATATTGACTGTGCGACTGGCACCCGCAGTGAGTGTGCGAGCGCGATAGCAACATAACTACGCGCGAGCGATAAGGATGGGTAGCTTGGGGTCATTGGACAAAATTCTACATGCTCACAGACCAGACTATACCATGAAAGAATCCTCTCTGGGGAAAGATTTTTCTGTTCGGTTTGGTCTGTGGTTGCATTTGTTTTAAGTCCGCCTAGGTAGCTACCACCATCTACTACTAAAGTAGTAGTAATGTTAATAGCATTGTGTTCTGGCAGTCGGTATTAAAATATCGTGTTGTTGAGGATTCCGGGTGAGGCTCGCTTCCACCATCGGCCTGAATCTTCCTCGAGCTTCCTTGTTGTTGATAAAAACCCTAAACAAATACTCACAAGTGATCAGATTCCTGTGAACCCCATCGAAGACGCAGCTGATGTGGGCCGCCTCCCCCCGCCCGCCCCGCCGCGCCTCCCCGCGCGCGTCAACTGAGCACGACACGCACGCGAACACGTGCCGCATCGCTACTCCAGAGTTCAACAGCGCTAGGCACGCGTAGTTCAACGCGCAAGCCCGGTTTCCAAGAGCGGTGCAGTGTATTTTGAATAACCAATTAGACTTGGATAATATTTCCACAATTCTGCTCAATATTGAGGGTATTCGCGAATGAAAAATCCGCCAGATGGCAATACGTAGACGCGAGGTCCAAATGCTGCATGATTGGTTATTTTTGACATGACATTGACAGATATGTCAAAATCCACCAATCACGCAGCAGTCAGACCGCACATCCACGTCCCGCCATCTAGCGGATCTTTCATTCGCGAAAACCCTCATTGTCATATCTTACTCACACAGGCATGATAAGTATCAACTAATCGCACCCCCATGGCCAGGTCCCCCTGAAAAATTATCCTAGATACGCCGACGACGCGCGATAGGAACTAAGAACCAAGAAAAGAACCGCCTCAGTGCCTCTCTGTGGTTGAGGATCCCGGGTAAAGCTCGCCACCTTCGGCCTGATTATCACTTTCCATCAGGTGAGTGTAGAGAGTAGATGCAGGCCAAGAACTTCTTCGTTGTTGCATGCGCGTATATAGTGCGAGGGTCGGGTGGGCCGTGTCCACCCCAGAATGGTCTAGGGTAGTTTATCATCATTTACATACTATCAAACTGGAACTGGAAAATAACCCTAGATAAGCCAATGGAAAAAAAAATACTCACAAGTGATCAGATTCCTGTGAACCCCATCGAAAACGCAGCTGATGTGGGCCGCCTCCCCCCGCCCGCCCCGCCGCGCCTCCCCTCGCGCGTCAACTGAGCACGACACGCACGCGAACACGTGACGCATCGCTACTCCAGAATTCAGCAACGCTAGGCACGCGCAGCTCAGGAACTGTCAGGAAACGCCTTGAATACTAGCCGCCTCGTGTGTTTGAACGTAGGTACTACCAATTGGCAAAATGGCGCCAAGTAGTAGGGCTTGTTCTAAGTCCGCCTGACCAGCTACCACGATCTTACCTTAGTCTGACACTATAACAACAATGTTAATACAACCGTGACGTCACATCGACGCTCTGGTACGGACGTGAACACGTCTAGCGTTGTTCAACTCAGGAGTAGCGATATGGATCGCTACTCCTGAGTTGAACAACGCTAGGCACGCGCACTCCTCTCCGCTCAGCTTATATAGAAATGAATCAAGCGGAGAGGAGAAGAGATGTGTCGAGCGGAGCAGGCGGCCACGCGTACCTCGTTCCCCGCTGCCTTCTTCCCCGTACCTCGCGCAATTGAAAGCGTCATAAGATTCGTAGACAGCAGCTGCAATAGACTGACAGCTGATAGCTACGCATTTCACATATCGTATCCTCTCGTCTCCTCTGTGCTCGTCTCCGCTCCGCTTTGGTGGAAATAACCTGCCAATTTCGCCGCACATCTCCTCTGGTCTCGTCTTGTCTCCACTTTGGTTTTGTAACCTTGTAGAAACTGCTCACAATACTCACACGTAATCAGATTCCTGTGAACCCCATCGAAGACGCAGCTGATGTGGGCCGCCTCCCCCCGCCCGGCCAGCCGCACCTCCCCTCGCGCGTCAACTGAGCACGACACGCACGCGAACACGTGACGCATCGCTACTCCAGACTTGAGCAGCGCTAGGCACTCGCAGCTCAGGAACTGCTAGGAAATATCTCGAATACTAGCCGCCTTGTGCTTTCGTACGTACTACCGATTGGCAAAATGGCGCCAAGTAGTAGGGCTTGTTCTAAGTCCGCCTAGCTAGCTACCACCATCTTACCTTAGTCTGACACTATAACAACAATGTTAACTGCGCACAAGGCTGCCGTGACGTCACATCGACGCTCTGGTACGGACGTGAACACGTGCCGTATAGCTACTCCCGAGTTGAATAGCGCTAGGCACGCGCACTCCTCTCCGCTCAGCTTAGATAGAAATGAATCAAGCGGAGAGGAGAAGAGATGTGTCGAGCGGACTCGAGCGGAGCAGGCGGCTACGCGCACCTCATTCCCCGCTGCCTTCTTCCCCGCACCTCGCGCAATCGAAAGCGTCATACGATTCGTAGACAGCAGCTGCAATAGACTGACTAGTTTCACATATCGTATCCTTTCCGCTCATTTCATCTCCGCTCCGCTTTGGTGGAAATAACCTGCCAGCTTCGCCGCACATTTCTCTCGTCTCCACTTTTCTTTCGGCCATACAGGAACTGCTCAAATACTCACAAGTGATCAAATTCCTGTGAACCCCATCGAAGACGCAGCTGATGTCCACCCCAGAATGGTCTAGGGCCCACCCCAGAAAATCTTAGAAATAGTAATTTTACACAGTTTATCATCATTTACATACTATCAAACTGGAACTGGAAAATAACCCTAGACAAGCCAATGGATAAAAAAATACTCACAAGTGATCAGATTCCTGTGAACCCCATCGAAGACGCAGCTGATGTGGGCCGCGCAGTTCAACGCGCACGATATGTGCTTAAAAGGGGCCTTGTTCTAAGTCCGCCTGACCAGCTACCACGATCTTACCTTAGTCTGACACTATAACAACAATGTTAATACAACCGTGACGTCACATCGACGCTCTGGTACGGACGTGAACACGTGCCATATCGCTACTCCTGAGTTGAACAGCGCTAGGCACGCGCAGCTCAGGAACTGCTAGGAAATATCTCGAATACTAGCCGCCTCGTGCGTTCGATAGTACTACCGATTGGCAAAATGGCGCCGACCCTATCATGTCATATCTCACTCACACAAGCATGATAAGTAACTACTAATTAGACTGCCTCGTGGCCAACTCAGGGGCCAGACCCCCCTGGAAAATTACCCTAGATACGCCAATGGCGCACGATAGAAACTAAAGCCCGGTCTGTGAGCACGTAGAATTTCGTCCAATGACCCCTAGCGTAATTATATTGCTGTCGCGACTGTGCGACTGGCACCCGCAGTGAGTGTGCGAGCGCGATAGCAACATAAGTACGCGCGAGCGATAAGGATGGGTAGCTTGGGGTCATTGGACAAAATTCTACGTGCTCACAGACCAGACTACCATGAAAGAATCCTCTCTGGGGAAAGATTTTTCTGTTCGGTTTGGTCTGTGGTTGCATTTGTTTTAAGTCCGCCTAGGTAGCTACCACCATCTACTACTAAAGTAGTAGTAATGTTAATAGCATTGTGTTCTGGCAGTCGGTATTAAAATATCGTGTTGTTGAGGATTCCGGGTGAGGCTCGCTTCCACCATCGGCCTGAACCTTCCTCGAGCTTCCTTGTTGTCGATAAAAACCCTATAAAAATACTCACAAGTGATCAAATTCCTGTCAACCCCATCGAAGACGCAGCTGAGCTGGGCCACCTCCCCCCGCCCGCCCCGCCGCACCTCCCCTCGCGCGTCAACTGAGCACGACACGCACGCGAACACGTGACGCATCGCTACGCCTGAGTTGAGCAGCGCTAGGCACGCGCAGTTTAGCGCGCATTAGGCTGCATTTCCATCAGAGGTGTGCGGTTACCTCGCCTCGGTAAATGAAGTGATTCTATTGGTTCTTTACAAACACATACCTTGCTACGCATCCTCGCACATCTCTGGTGGAAACGCAGCCTTAGGCCCGGTTACCAAGAGGAGCAGAGGCAAAATGTGTTTTAAATAACCGATCAAATTTTATTACTTCCACATCTCTCCGCTCAGCCTTGATAGAAATGGATTGAGCGGAGTGAAGAGATGTTCGCGCGGACTTTTTATTATAGAATTTGACAGCAGCGCACAAACTAAAGCGTCATACGATTCGTAGACAGCAATTGACTGACATATTTGACATCAACGCATAGCTCACATATCCTATCCCCTCGTCTCCTCTCCGCTCCGCTTTGGTGGAAATAAACTGCCAATTTCGCCGCACATCTCCTCTGGTCTCGTCTTGTCTCCACTTTGGTTTTGTAACCTTGTAGAAACTGCTCACAATACTCACAAGTGATCAGATTCCTGTGAACCCCATCGAAGACGCAGCTGATGTGGGCCGCCTCCCCCCGCCCGCCCCGCCGTACCTCCCCTCGCGCGTCCACTGAGCACGACACGCACGCGAACACGTGACGCATCGCTACGTCTGAGTTGAGCAGCGCTAGGCACGCGCAGTTCAGGAACTGCTAAGAAATACCTTGAATACTAGCCGCCTCGTGCGTTCGAACTTACTACCAATTGGCAAAATGGCGCCGACCCTAGCATGTCATATCTCACTCACACAAGCATGATAAGTAACTACTAATTAGACTGCCTCGTGGCCAACTCAGGGCCCCCCCCCCCCTGGAAAATTACCCTAGATACGCCAATGGCGCACGATAGAAACTAAAGCCCGGTCTGTGAGCACGTAGAATTTCGTCCAATGACCCCTAGCGTAATTATATTGCTGTCGCGACTGTGCGACTGGCACCCGCAGTGAGTCTGCGAGCGCGATAGCAACATAATTACGCGCGAGCGATAAGGATAGGTAGCTTGGGGTCATTGGACAAAATTCTACGTGCTCACAGACCAGACTATACCATGAAAGAACCCTCTCTGGGGAAAGATTTTTCTGTTCGGTTTGGTCTGTGGTTGCACTTGTTTTAAGCCTAGCTAGTTACCACCATCTACTACTAAAGTAGTAGTAATGTTAACAGCATTGTGTTCCGGCAGTCTGTAGTAAAATATCCAGGATTCCGGGTGAGACTCGCTTCCACCATCGGCCTGAACCTTCCTCGAGCTTCCTTGTTGTCGATAAAAACCCTATAAAAATACTCACAAGTGATCAAATTCCTGTGAACCCCATCGAAGACGCAGCTGAGCTGGGCCGCCTCCCCCCGCCCGCCCCGCCGCACCTCCCCTCGCGCGTCAACTGAGCACGACACGCACGCGAACACGTGACGCATCGCTACTCCAGAGTTGAGCAGCGCTAGGCACGCGCAGTTCAAGAACTAAAGCCCGGTCTGAAAGCACGTAGAATTTTGTCCAATGACCCCAAGCTACCCATCCTTATCGCTCGCGCGTAATTAAGTTGCTGTCGCGCTCGCACACTCACTGCGGGCGCCCGTCGCACAGTCACGACAGCAATATAATTACGCGCGAGCGATAAGGATGGGTAGCTTGGGGTCATTGGACAAAATTCTACGTGCTTTAAGACCAGAGTATACCAGGAAATACCTTGAATACTAGCCGCCTTGTGCTTTCGTACGTACTACCGATTGGCAAAGTGGCGCCGACCCTAGCATGTCATATCTCACTCACACAAGCATGATAAGTAACTACTAATTAGACTGCCTCGTGGCCAACTCAGAAGCCAGGCCCCCTGAAAAGTTGCTCTAGATACGCCAATGGCGCACGATAGGAACTACCAGGAAAGAATCCGCCCTGGGAAAAGATTTTTCTGTTCGGTTTTATCTGTGGGTGCACTTGTTTTAAGTCCGCCTAGCTAGCACCATCTACTACTAAAGTAGTAGTAATGTTAACAGCATTGTATTCCGGCAGTCGGTAGTAAAATATCCAGCTCCTGTGGTTGAGGATTCTGGGTGAGGCTCGCTTCCACCATCGGCCTGAATCTTCCTCGAGCTTCCTTGTTGTTGATAAAAACCCTTAAAAAAATACTCACAAGTGATCAAATTCCTGTGAACCCCATCGAAGACGCAGCTGAGCTGGGCCGCCTCCCCCCGCCCGGCCAGCCGCACCTCCCCTCGCGCGTCAACTGAGCACGACACGCACGCGAATACGTGACGCATCGCTACTCCAGAGTTGAGCAGCGCTAGGCACGCGCAGTTCAACGCGCACGAGAGAAACTGGAGAAAAAGAAAAGTTTTATAAGTGGAAGTGTCAGAAAAAGTAATGTTTAACAACTAGGAATCCAGGCGCCAGCCTGTTTTTTGTTGTTTAATAAAAAAAATCTACTACTCTTCTTTCTGATAGTTGACAAGTTAAGCTCAAAACTATTTTTTTTATGCAGAACAAGGCAGGTATTAGACCGCATTTGCACCTGCCTGATGTTAAGTGAAATGCTATCTAGGATGGCACATATCTGCCCTGTAAGTGCTTATTTACTCATCAATAATCTTACACTACAGGAGCTCAACCCTCTCTAATTTACCAAAGGGAAGTCTAAGTTTGTGGTTTGTCAATATTAAGACTAATTATAGCTTCTTTCGTTATCATACTAATTCAGAATAATCTTGAGAGCTTTTTCTCAATTTATGTCCACAACTTTGTGATATTTTGTATTTTAACAAATTTTTGTCTCACACAAAACTGCGGGCTGTAGTGAAACCACTTAAATCAACCATTCTTACCCCTCCAAAGTCTTCTAGCTCTTGTATGGTGACAGTGATGCCGGTGCGTGGGTACAGACTGCCCAAGATTGCCTTTTCACAAGTTTGTCTGATCACATTTTCTTTGTATCTGCAATTAAATTGGATTCATCATTAAAAACCATTTAATTACACTAATAGCAGCACTTAACTTCTGTATTGGACTAGCTAACATAACACCATGATAATGCATTGTAACATCTATTTCACAATAATTTTGAAAAGATTTGTGCCTTATTTTGAGTAGATCTCTTGATAGATATTGTTGTAATCTCTTATTAGAATTAGGCTATTAAGATACCGCAATATTATACTTGAAATCTACAGATTTTGTAATTAAATATCAGTAATTAAATTATACAAATGAAATACAAACCTATCAGCAACTGATGGTTTGCCACCTTTGCTACTGTACAATATCTCGAGAGTTGACTTCTCTATGCTCTGGCTTGTAGTTTTGATATCCAGGGGACCGTTCACGCTCACCAGCGCCACTGTGTCTCCTGGAACACGATAGATAACGATTTTAAAGAACAACTAATATTATAACCCAACTTTTTTTAAGTGCCGATTTTTTCAATATTTAGCGCATTTACAGGTAAATTTAGTATTAAACTAAATACGGAAAGCTTGCTAAAAGTACTCCTAACTATTATTAGGGCCTTAAACACCGGTTTAACGACAAATAAAGCGATAAAAACCATTTGTACAAACCTTGAGATAATATCGCCGAACCATCGGATTTACTCAAAAAGTTTAACTCGCACTTCATAGGTTGGAGTTTGAAATCCTTAAAATCCTTTTCATCGGCGCCCATAGTGTTAATTTACAGGGAATTTTGGAAAATTGGGTTTATTTACTTCTTAGTCGACTGAAACGTGCATTTGACATTAAATTGACATCAAGAACTTCAAGAAAGTGACAACAACCGAATGCCAAAAAAAGGTACGGTCCAATAAAGAAAATCGTGAGAGCTCATCGTTTCGCGAACGTTGAGTGAGCTCAAAGTTTAGTCCTACTGAATTCTCTCCACTGTGGCCTTTTGCTCAGCTGAGTGGAGTGAGTCAACGTCACTCGTTTTGACATTTCTATTGACAGTAAAATTGCAAACGTTTACGCTGTTTTTTTCAGATTTGTGCAATTTATTGCAGGATAAAGTGTAAAGAATTTATTTCCATGAAAAGAAAATAAAGCAAACAAGATGAAGAACCGATTTAATACCTACGATATAATGTGTATGATCACAGAATTACAGAGGTAAAGGTTATGTTTTTGTTTTGGACTTATTTATTTTTACATAATTTATTTACGTTTTTACTGTTATTATCTTGCATTATTCTAAAATAATGCAAGATTCGAATCTTCAATAAATGTACCATAAGCTTAAGTCATAAGCTATGAGATAAAACACAATAAACCAATTACGAAATGATGTTAGGTTGCCTTGACCGTGATGCAACCCAGAATTTTTGGCAATGTACGTAAAGATTATCTTTTTGATAATAAATAAATAATAAAAAACTTTTATTTCCACAAGTTTACAAATTACAATTTATAAATTAATTTAGAAGCATCTGTCCGTTCCCTCTTGTGGCACCCTGTATGGGCAAAACCTCCTCCATCCCGCTCCATTTCTTCCTGTCCTGGGCTAGGTCGAACCAATTATCTTTTTAATATTTGTTAGGAATTTCATTATCCTATTTTAAATCTGAAAAATCTACATTTCAGGCTGATTGGCATGCGAGTCAATCAAGTGTACGACATCGACAACAAAACGTATGTGATACGATTGCAGCGGTCTGAAGAGAAGAGTGTGCTGCTACTGGAGTCAGGAAACAGATTCCACACCACACAATTTGAATGGCCCAAGAATGTGGCACCCTCTGGGTTCACAATGAAGGTGTGTAAAAGTATTTATTAAAAAGAATGGTAGTTAACAAACTAAATGAAATCTATATAATTAATTTTGTTTATTAACCAGTCGTATTCATTCCAGTCAACAATGCAAAAGTGTCTCATTCTTATCAGTGCTTAGGCATATAGGTTTATCAAAATCTAGACTTAATAATAAATGCTCCACAAAATGGGCCTAACTACGGATGACAGCTGTCGAGCATGTGGAGAACATGCGGAGTCCATGAAACACCTACTCTGCGAATGTGACGCGCTAGCTAGAACTAGAATGGGTCTCCTGGGGTCGGCTTATCCGACGCCAGAAGAATATAGGTCCTTCTCACCCAAGCACTTGATCCACTATATGGATAGGATCTTTGTGGATGAGGGGGGATAAAGGTATAGGGAAGCACAAAAGATCCCAATGGGTCGACGTGCACTGCGCCCATGCGCGGCCCAAAAATAAGATAAGAGATAAGACTTAATAAAAATTACTTAAACATTAAAAATATTTTGTAGAATAACTTTGTGATTTAAGACACACAAAAAAATTGATACTCAAAATGATTGTGTATTCCATTTTATTGTAGCTAAGGAAACATCTAAAAAACAAACGACTAGAGCGTCTCACGCAGCTTGGCATTGATCGTATAGTAGACCTCCAGTTTGGCACCGGTGAGGCAGCGTATCATGTTATACTGGAACTGTATGACAGGGGAAACATAGTCCTGACCGACTGTGACTGGACCATTCTTAACGTACTCAGGCCTCATGTGGAAGGAGATAAAATCAGGTATTTATCTAATAAAGTATTTGTATGTTACTGTAAATACTGTCTTAGTCTAGCACTATGTAAATAAACAGTCCAATCACTATCAATACATATTATAAAACAAAGTTGCTTTTCTGTATGTCTATGTATGCTTAGATCTGTAAAAGTCGCAACGGATTTTGATGCAGTTTTTTTAAAAGATAAGAGTGATTCAAGAGGAAGGTTTTTAAGTACTTTTAGCACCTGTGCGAAGCCGGGGCGGGTTGCTAGTAAGCAATAATAACTCCTACCTAACCACTCATGAGAATATGTTATCATCACTAAGACAATTACAAGTGCCACACTTCACTATGAATCGGATTTGCACTTTGTTGAATAAATAGACATGACACATAATGTATTGATGATTGACTCTTTAACTAAATATGTGTTAAACATTTTTACAGGTTTGCTGTCAAGGAAAAATACCCACTAGACAGGGCAAAAACGAACTACGCTGCACCGTCAGAAGACGCTTTGAAAGAAATACTGGCAAAAAGCAAACCTGGGGACAATTTGAAGAAGATCCTGAATCCCAACCTTGGTAAGGTCAAACTAATAAGTTTTTAAACTTATTAACATAGCACCAGCTCTCACAATGCTGATCTATAGTTAAAGAGATATAATATACGAAATGTTTTTCCTAAATTAGTCTGTCGTGAGAGATAGAAATACATAAATAAAAAATAAAAAGTGGTACTGAACATCATGTCACAACTGTATAAGTAAAATAATATTCCAGTGTCACTGCATCACCATTATTTACATACATACATACATACCATTCAAATAATCCGCTCCCAGAACGCATCTAATTATGGCTATGACTGGCCGATTGTAGATAATAAGAGGAAGAAAAAAAACTTATTATTCCATAGAGCCAAAGCACACGATGCGCTGCGGCGGCATAGAAATATATGTGGGGGAACACTTTGAAGCAAAGTGCGGCGCGGCGCCGCACCGCTCGATATGACGAAATCTTTGAGGCGCGGCGCCGGAACGCATCGTGTGCTTTGGAACGCATAATATGCAACCATTAATACCATTATATCAAAGGTGTCTTTGCTGCAAAATGTGCAAAGGCTGCTGGAATGTAAATTTTTCTCTACTTTCCAAAAACAAAATATTGTTGTTTCCACATCTGTTTTAATAATCTGACGAAATAATTACATATTTCTTACAGAATACGGATCGGCCATTATAGACCACGTGCTCTTAGAGAATGGTCTCACAGGCAACATGAAAGTGAGCTCAGACCCCAACAAGGGTTTTTTTGCCGAGAGAGACCTTGGGAAACTCGCGACGGCCCTCAAACAGGCTGAGAAACTTCTGGATGCTGCCAAAACAGAAGTCTCAAAGGTTAGTGAATTACTATCTTTTCTGCTGATATCTTTATGATAGTAAGATTGTTATTTTTTCTATTCTGTTTTTATTAGATTAGACTAGAAAACAGATTTAACACCAAGACATAGTTAGGCGGAGCGCGGCGCAGTGTGGCCGCGCTCCGCCGCGGTACGCGGAACGACAGATTTAATCATTGTATGGAAGTACCTCAGTTTGTATAGAAAACACGCGCGGCACAACACACTGACAACGCGTCTGCGCGCGGGATTTTTTATATGAAATCACGCGGACCGCGGCGGAGCGCGGCGCAGTGTGATAATCGCCTTACACCCTAGTTAAAACTATGCACAGACCCAGCTGGTCTCGTATGCATTTTGTCATATTTTTTTTATTTCACAAAGACATCTATCAATATCGATGTCTATATCATTTTTGTCTCTCTTCAAATTCCAGGGCTACATCATCCAAAAGAAAGAAGAGAGACCGAGCCCCGAGGGCGAAGCACCTACTTTCCTGCTGACCAACCAGGAGTTCCATCCGTTGGTCTTCTCTCAGCACCGCTCGCAGCCTATTGCAGAGTATGAGACCTTTGACAGAGCTGTGGATGAGTTCTACTCGGCTTTGGAGGGGCAGAAGATTGATTTGAAGGTTCGTAGACAGTATGGAGAGGGCTTGGTGTTTCTTTACGAGATCGAATCAGAAACGAGGAGATCCGTAAAAACGAACTAAAACATATCGCGACAGATTAGCAAGCTGAAGTGGCAATGGACAGGGCACATAGTACGCAGAACTGACGGCAGCAGCAAGGTTCTGGAGTGGGGGCCACGTACCGGAAAGCGCAGCGTAGGACACGTACTTTTCGGCTGCGTATTTCAAGGTGAACCGATGACCTCATAATGGTAGCAGTAAGGTGCTGGATGCAAGCCGCTACCAATCGGTCATTATAGCAATCATTAGAGGAGACCTATGTTCAGCAGTGGAATTCTTATGGTTGAAATGATGATGGTAAAAGATATAGCTTGAAAAGCTCTCATTGCTCTCAAGTAGCGACCACGGACTGGTAAACGTAGCATAGCAGACCAGGTGGAGTGACGATCTGGTAAGGTAGGTAGCACCTGGATAATAAACTAAACTGCATTATTAATCGTTTGTATTCTTTCCAGACGGTGCAAGTGGAAAGAGAAGCGTTGAAGAAGCTTCAAAACGTGCGCAAAGACCACGAGAAGCGAGTGACTGAGCTCGCGAGCGTGCAGGTCGCGGACAAGCGAGCTGCTGAGCTCATAGCTCGCAATGAGCAGCTCATCGAGCAGGCGCGCCTCGCGATACAGACTGCTATCGCCAACCAGGTAACTTGAGGGGTTCTTATGGAAGGGTGACGCAACGACGACGCGATAGTGACGCAACATCGGCGTGACTGTGACGCAACATCGGCGTGACTGTGACGCAACATCGGCGTGACGGTGAAGCAACGTCGGCGAGACGTTGATGCGACGTCAACAAAGACCACGAGAAGCGAGTGACTGAGCTCGCGAGCGTGCAGGTCGCGGACAAGCGAGCTGCTGAGCTCATAGCTCGCAATGAGCAGCTCATCGAGCAANCTGAGCTCATAGCTCGCAATGAGCAGCTCATCGAGCAAGCGCGCCTCGCGACACAGACTGCTATCGCGAGCCAGGTAACTTGAGGGGCTCTGATGGAAGGGTGACGCAACGACGACGCGATAGTGACGCAACATCGGCGTGACGGTGACGCAAAATCGGCGTGACTGTGACGCAACATCGGCGTGACTGTGACGCAACATCGGCGTGACTATGACGCAACATCGGCGTGACTGTGACGCAACATCGGCGTGACTGTGACGCAACATCGGCGTGACTGTGACGCAACGTCGGCGGGACGTTGATCCGACGTCAACAAAGACCACGAGAAGCGAGTGACTGAGCTCGCGAGCGTGCAGGTCGCGGACAAGCGAGCTGCTGAGCTCATAGCTCGCAATGAGCAGCTCATCGAGCAGGCGCGCCTCGCGATACAGACTGCTATCGCCAACCAGGTAACTTGAAGGGCTCTTGTGGAAGGGTGAAGCTATAGTGACGTGACGACGGCGCGATAGTGACGCACATCGGCGTGACTGTGACACAACATTGGCGTGACCGTGACGCAACATCGGCGTGACTGTGACGTATCATCGGCGTGACTGTGACGCAACATCGACTTAACCATGACGCAGTGTCCGCGCCGAGCACATCGCTCAAGTGAGCCTCGCGATACGACGATGACGTGACGGCAACGCGACGTCTTTCTCGATAAGTATTTAGCATTTTCCAACAAGAGCCATGTGACATCAGAAACATGCTAATTTTGGAAGCTTGAGAAAGATTTTAATTTTATATGACTGCCTATTTCGTGCCTATGCTGGTTGCCTATTTGGTGATTGCATATTATAGATTTTCCTATCATCTATATTATCTTTACCTAACCAAACCTAACAACTTAACGCTACCAACCGGGCAAGCTGGAAATCATAGGGGGAGCCCTATGGTGGCTGAAATGATGATAATAATAATTATTATTAACCTAATATTTCCCATACAGATGTCCTGGGACGACATCAAACTCCTGGTGAAAACAGCGCAAGACAACGCCGACCCCGTAGCCTCTCACATCAAAGACCTCAAGCTGAAGACCAACCACATCACCTTACTGCTCGAAGACCCGTACAAGCACAGTGATGATGAAGACGATGACAGCGAGAAACTGGAGCCGATGCTCGTGGATATTGACTTGTCTTTGACGGCGTTTGCTAATGCTAGGAGGTGAGTTGATGGATGATGTTATAGGTTTTTACCCGACTACATACATGGGCGGGGCACATAGCTCGTAGAGACGATGGCCGTTGGGGCAGGAAAGTTCTCGAGTGGCGACCACGGGCTGGAAGACGTAGCGTGGGCAGGCCTCCTACTAAGTGGACCGACGATCTGGTAAAGGTCGCGGGAGGAGCCTGGATGCGGGCAGCGCAGGACCGTTCATTGTGGAAATCCTTGGGGGAGGCCTTTGTCCAGCAGTGGACGTCATTTGGCTGAAACGAACGAACGAACGAACCCGACTACAAATAGGAGGATTAGAGCCCTCGCCCACGGCGACTTTTGGTAACTTTTTGTAGGCGACTACTAACGCGCGTTAGTCGCATTTGCAACGCACTACAGAGGCGATGCCATCGCGCGACTGTATCGATGCAAACGCGCGACCGTGTCGGACGACATCGGGGAGAGAACGGATGGAGGGTTACTGATCGCGTTTGCATCGCCACAGAATCTCGTTTTTTTTATTTGTTCAACTCTCACTCAGACGATTTCTTGCTCTTAGGCCCGGTTTTTTGAATCGTAGTTAAAATAACCAATAGTCAAATTTGACAGATGTCAAATGACAAGTGGTTAAATATCAGAAAAAAATGTTTTTCGAACAATGGTTAGCTTGACTTTTCGTACATTTTTTAACTATTAGTTAGCATTTTGTTAATATTTAACCATTAGTACCAAAATTTAACAATTTGTTATTTTAACTATGAATCAAAAAACTGGGCCTTAGCTGAGTTGTGTTGTCTTAACTTACAAACACACTAACACTTCAAAACACGTTTGTCCAGAAATTCCATAACCTTAATTATTATTATACCTTTCCATACTCAAGAGGTTAATTGACTTTTACTCTAAAGAAGTATATTCTTATCTCACTCAGATACTACGACCAGAAGCGAAACGCCGCCAAAAAGCAGCAGAAAACCATCGAGTCCTCCGACAAAGCTCTAAAAAGTGCTGAAAGGAAGACCAAGCAGACCCTGAAGGAAGCTAGTGCCATCAGCAGCATCAGCAAGGCCAGGAAGACGTACTGGTTCGAGAAGTTCTTCTGGTTCATATCCTCGGACAACTACTTGGTAAGTTTAGTTTTAGGTATAGGTCTTGGGGCAATAAAGTTTTCGTGTGGGTCTATTCCACTTTGATCACCTGGCTTTGATGACCCAGGTGATCAAAGTCCACTTCCAGCGACAATTTAGTGTCCTTTGATCACCCACGGATATGATGCTCTGGGCGCCTCTGGGTGATCAAAGTGAACTCCAGTTAAATTATTATTTTAGTGTCCTTTGATCACCTACATACAAATCACACCTCCTCTTATACTTAATGTACGGACAAACATTGTTTAGGTTAGTAACGCTTTAAAATATTTCATGCTGTAAATAAAATTGTCTATTATATTAAGAAAATGTTTGTACCTACTTACAACAATTGGACATGACGTGCCTATTCAGAGGAGATGATTTGTATGTAGGTGATCAAAGGACACTAAAATAATAATTTAACTGAAGTCGACTTTGATCACCCAGGGCATCGTATCCGTGGGTGATCAAAGGACACTAAATTGTCGCTGGAAGTGGACTTTGATCACCTGGGTCATCAAAGCCAGGTGATCAAAGTGGAATAGACCTTCGTGTGGTTACCACAGACCAGAAGATGTAATATAGGGCTCGCACCTGGTAGACTGACGATCTAATGAAGGTCGCGGGAACCTCAATGCGGGCAGCGTAGGACTAGTTGTTATGATAATCCTTGGGGGATGCCTTTGTCCAGCAGTAGACGTCCTTTAATTGAAGCGGATGACCGAATAGGCTCTTGAGAACCATCAACGATATCAGCCAGATGGGTTGTGGAGACCTGTACCTAGAGACCATTTGAATACGGAAGCAGTCTCTTTCATACCCAGGAGACGAGAAATTTTTCAAACGAAATATATTTATGTCATAGCATAATTCAAGATACAATTTAGATTTCACAAATGTTCTTTGTCCAGGTGATAGGCGGCCGCGATCAGCAACAGAACGAGTTGCTTGTGAAGCGTTACCTTAAAGCCGGTGACGTGTACGTACACGCTGAAGTCACGGGTGCATCATCCGTCGTGGTCAAGAACCCGTCCGGAGCACCCATCGCGCCGCGAACGCTGGCCGAGGCCGGACAGGCCGCCGTGGCCTACAGGTGAGACCACAGCACACACATTAAAATAGCTACATTACTCCCAAGTGGCTAAAACGGTCCCTAACTGCAACGTATACGTGATCGTAAAGAACCCAACTGACGAGCCCGACGGCTTATAGGTGAAACCCGACGATCGACTGATCATCCAGCCTCAGTCATACATAAATAGCTACTCCACTTAGTGTCTTGACAGACCGTGAGCTCTCGAAAGTCTCAAGTCGCCCGTACAAGTGCCTTAAATGGCCCAATATGGCTTTAATAACCTGGTCAAAGTGGGCAAGCCTCCCCTTAAGTGTCTAGAATGACCTCCGTAGACTCCAAGTGCCTTATAAGTGATATTCATCACCCTCTCGTGTCTTAATGGTCCTGTTAGTGATAAGTCCGATGTCCCACATGACCTTAGCCACGCTACCTCAAAGCTGGTGACGTGTACGTGCACGCTGAAGTCACGGGCGCGTCGTCTGTGGTCGTCAAGAACCCGTCCGGAGCGCCCATCGCGCCGCGAACTCTGGCCGAGGCCGGACAGGCCGCTGTGGCCTACAGGTGAGGCCTGACGAGTATTAAAGGCAGTGTTCCACCAAAACGGAGACGAGACGTAAAGAGAAAAGACCTGATTACACGTCTTACTGGTCTCATTCACAAGTTTCCAAGATTCCCGACATAAATGACTTTCAAGACTCCCAAGTGCTCTAAATACGCCACCACGGCGCTCTAGTGTCTTAACTGCTCCTACGGGGCTTCCAAATGCCTAGAATTACATCCATTGCCCCATACATGATCTCAAAATGGCTGAATGACTTACTCCTGAAGTATATTTCACTGACCCAAGTGACTGCAGATCTACACTTCTCGGTCGTTCATTGCGATTTAAATTAGTATTGTCTCACTTTTAATAACTTTGTGGATAGTTTACCAGCCGTAAAGAATCGTCCAGTAATCAGAACGGTTTCCTGGTAAAGGTTGCCTCGTGAATGTTCAAGTGTCGCTTGATCCAAGCAATATACCAAAAGATCTTCCTTTAAACTTCTGCGTTTGTCCCCAGCGTGGCGTGGGAAGCAAAAGTGATGACGCGCGCTTGGTGGGTGCACGCGCACCAAGTGTCCAAGTCGGCGCCAACCGGAGAATACCTCACCACCGGCTCCTTCATGATCCGCGGCAAGAAGAACTACCTGCTGCCCGACCAGCTGCACTTCGGGTTCACCTTTATGTTCAGGGTGAGAGAGCCTTTTATCGCGTGCACCTTTGTTATTCCAAGTTTGCGCCCATATAAGGTCACCTCACCAAAGTTCCTTCATGATCCGCGGCAAGAAGAACTATCTGCTGCCCGACCAGCTGCACTTCGGATTCACCTTTATGTTCAGGGTGAGAGAGTCTATTGTCGCGTGCACCTATTTTGTTCCAAGTGTGTTGTCACGGGAGGGCACCTCACCAAAGGTTCTTCGGGTTCACCTTTATGTTCAGCAGGGTAAGAAAAACAGTAACTGTTGTCGCGTGAACTTTTGTTATTCCAAGTTTGCGCCCCATGTGAGGTTACCTCATCAAAGGATCTTCATGAATACCTGCTGCCCGACCAACTGCACTTCGGGTTCACCTTTATGTTTAGGGTGAGAGAGTCTATTGTTGGGTGCTCCTTTGTTATTCCAAGTTTCATCAAAGGTCCTTCTTGATACTACCTGCTGCCCGACCAGCTGGCCTTTGGATTCACCTTTATGTTCAGGGTAAGAGGGACTGTTGTCGCGTGCACCTTTGTTATTCCAAGTTAGCGCCAACTAGAGGTCACCTCACCAAAGGTCCTTCATGATCCGCGGCAAGAACTGACTGCTGCTTGACCAGCTGCACTGGTCCACCTTTATGTTCTGGGGGAAAGAGTCTATTGTTGCGTGCTCCTTTGTTATTCTAAGTTTGCGCCCATGGGAGGTGACCAGCTTCACTTCGGGTACACCTTTATGTTCAGGGTAAGAGAGTCTATTGTCGAGTGCACCTATTTGGTTCCAAGTGTGTTGTCACGGGAGGGCACCTCACCAAAGATTCTTTGGGTTCACCTTTATGTTCAGGGTAAGAGAAACTGTGGTCGCGTGCACCTTTGTTATTCTAAGTTTGCGCCCATGGGAGGTCACCAGCTTTACTTCGGATACATCTTTATGTTCAGAGTGAGAGCCTTTTATCGCGTGCACCTTTGTTATTCCAAGTTAGCGCCAACTGGAGGTCACCTCACCAAAGTTCCTGCATGATCCGCGGCAAGAAGAACGAACTGCTGCCCGAGCAGCTGCACTTCGGACCCCAGTTTTGTCATAGACGTCTTTGGGGTGAAACGAACGATCTCTTACTCATGAAAACCCTGGGTAAGAAGCGCAGTGTCAGAATGCGCTGAAAACTAGTTCTATTTGGAGAACGCCTGCTGTCATTATGTCATGATTGTAATAATGAAAAAAAAAACTTGAATAATAATCATTATTTCTTTATTCTTCACCAGCTGGAAGACAGCTGCATAGAGAAACATCGCGGCGAGCGCAAGACGATCGTGTTGGACGATACCGCCTCTGACGTCACATCCATACAGGAAGACGAGCAGGAGATCATTGTCTCTGATGATGGTAACACCCAATATTATACGAGTATATAGCAACTAACTTTAAATTATATTTAACAACTATTTTGTTTCATATCTCCTTATCTAGAGAAGGTTAAGGTAACTGGAGTGTGAAATCATTTTTGAGTCTAAATTCTTTAAACTGAAGCTTGTTAAGTCGTAATGTTTGTGGCTGTTGTAAAAATCACACGTAATTTTTAGATGCATTTCTCTCGAACGTCACTATAAACGTCAAATAGTTCGTGACGCCCAAAGTGGCCAAAAAATTGACAACAAAACGTTATTCCAATGAAGGTTTTCGCGATTGAAAAATCCGCCAGATGGCAATACGTAGACGCGAGGTCCAAATGCTGCGTGATTGGTGGATTTTGACATATCTGTCAATGTCATGTCAAAAATAACCAATCATGCAGCATTTGGACCTCGCGTCTACGTATTGCCATCTGGCGGATTTTTAAATCGCGGAAACCCTCATTGTAACAAAGTCATGTTTGAACTTTTTAGCTACTTTGGGTGTGATAGAAAGAAAGAAAGATACATTTATTTACATAAACTATTTGACGCTGGCTGTACCTACGTTTTCTTAGTAGCTTTACGAATGTATTACATCAAACAAAAATGTTCCCAGATGAGCCCTCAGACAAGGAAGACGCAAAATCATCGTCCGAACCGAAACTGGGCACAATATCAGAAGAAACTTCCAAATCTGACAACAAAGACGATTCGTCTTCTCAAACCGCTCCTACAGAAGATCTTGACAAAGAAGATGATGATAAAGAATATGATGAAAATGAGAAAGAAGATAAACAGGATGAAAAAGAAGACAAAAACAGTGACACAGACAGTGATGACGAAAGCTCTTCAGAAAGCAAATTCCCAAATACTCATATTAAGGTAATATTTACGGGTCTCCTACAGGGTACTATACTTGGCCCTACATTGTAAATTATCAATAAATATCTAAAGAAATAGTTATTAATTGATGAATTGAGTAAATTATTAATGAAATAATAACGAATTAATCTTTTTATACTTCTAGGTGGATCATGGCACAGGAGAAGTAACTGTTCAGTCCAAAACGCGAACTATGTCAGAAGCATCAGATAGAAGTAAGTTCTATTAATGTTTTAAACCTTCATCTAATTGTTATTAAGGTTCTATCTTACTATAGCGTTTAACTCAGCCAATGCCTATGGTACGGGAGCGGTGCTTGAGGGTGTTTTTGAAACGTCACACGTCACTAACATTTCTAATCTCCTTCAGTTTTTTTTTTATATCCACAATGAGGAAGCTCTTGGCCTGTATCTCACCTGATGGTAAGTGACGATCAGGCCGAAGGTGGAAGCGAGCTTCACCCGGAATCCTCAACCACGGAGGACCTGGCTATCTTACCTCTAACTGCCGGAACACAATAATGCTGTTAACATTGTTGTTACGGCGACAGATTTAGGTAAGATGGTGTTAGCTAGCCAGGCGGACTTAGAACAAGCCCTACCACCAACCTTGATTGAACCAAGATTTGTATGCTCTGTCACGTCACATGTCAATGTCCCTCTCACGTGTCGCTCCCATACCTCAGGCACAGACTGAGTTAAGCGATAAGCCTATAATATTGGATACGTCTCCTGGCTACGTATTTGTTCAAATTAGTACGGGGGCGGGTATGCAACCAGGTCGTACTGCAGTCGATGACGCTTTGTGTGCCGGACCGGTACGTATGGCGGCGCCGGCAGCCTCCTCTATTCGCAATTCCGAATGCAAGAACCAATATGCTAAAAGAGGCGCCAATTACCAGAACGTTGCGTACACTTAATGTAGTAGCTAGAACCGTTGACATATTCAGCTGTTCTTTGACTGAATTCACAAAGGTTACATTATTTATTTTATGTTATAGTCATAGCGGCAATCTTAATTGTTAAATATGTACTAATTAATCTACTCTATCGCATTGGGGTAACCTGTAATGTTAGAGCTAAGATTATTATTAAATAAATAAATAAATATTTACCTATAACAATACAAAAAATATCGTAGGTGAAGACACAATCATGTCCTTCCCATCGCTCCCTAAAAAAGGCGGTAAAAAGCCGCAGAAGGGCAAAGGAGAGAAACAGAAGAAGCCAGAAGAGACCCCCAAGGAGTGCCCCACCAAGCGCGGACAACACGGCAAGATGAAGAAGATGAAAGAGAAGTACAAGAACCAGGACCCAGAGGATAAAGAGAGGATGATGCAGCTGCTACAGGTATGCACTTCGATTCCCAGGTAGCAGAGGAAGTGTTATCATCATCATCATTTCAACCATAGGACGTCCACTGCTGAACATAGGCCTCCCCCAATGATTTCCACAATGGCCGGTTGGTGGCGGCCTGCATCCAGCGCCTTCCCGCTACCTTTATGAGGTCGTCGGTCCCGCTTGTGGGTGGACGTCCTACGCTGCGCTTTCAGTTACGTGGCCTCCACTCCAAAACCTTGCTGCGGCCGACAGTTCTTCGTACTGTGCCCTGCCCATTGCCACTTCAGCTTGCTAATCCGTTGGGCTATGTCAGTTCTTTTAGGGCGGCGCCGCAGCGTCACCTAGTCGAATATTCCAATACATTATGATTAATTATTTAAATATTTCGAAGAAGGATTCTCTTTAAAATATTTTATTTATATTCATAAAAAAATAGATACTGCTATTCACACCTTTTACGTCCTTATTTTCCTTATTTTCCCTAGTTTTCTTTTGTATAGCATCTCGTTTATGTACAGATCAATGAAAGAGTTACAAACCTATAAAATCTGATCATCCACAGTCATCTAACAACGCAAAGGAATCAAAGAAGGCCCTGAAGAAGGCCGCAGCCCTGAAGGCAGGCAACAAGACCAAAGGCCCGCGCGCGCAGAAGATTCCTCAGCCCGCGCCCGTTATACTGGAAGCTGATTCGGAGGAGGAACTGGAGCCCGAGGTCGAGGTATGTACACCCTTAACTGTCTTTTTTTATCCACAACGAGGAAGCTCTTGGCCTGTATCTCACCTTATGGTAAGTGATGATCAAGCCGAAGTTGGAAGCGAACTTCACCCGGAATCCTCAACCACGGAGGAACTGACTATCTTACCTCTAACTGCCGGAACACAACAATGCTGTTAACATTGTTGTTATGGCGACAGACTTAGGTAAGATGGTGGTAGCTAGCCAGGCGGACTTAGAACAAGCCCTACCACCAAACAAACCGAACAGAAAAATCTGCCCCCACTGGGAATCGAACCCGAGACCTCTGCGTCTGAAGCAGGTGGTCTTACCACTAGACCACAGAGGCGGTTAAATACATAGAAGTCTATAGTCAGCTAACAGCGTAAAGAGTCTAAGAAGGCGCAGCCCTGAAGGCAGGCAACAAGACCAAAGGCCCGCGCGCGCAGAAGATCCCGCAGCCCGCGCCCGTCATACTGGAAGCTGAGGAGGAGGACGAACTGGAGCCCGAGGTCGAGGTATGTAGACCCTTATCTGTATTTTTTTTATCCACAACGAGGATGCTCTTGGCCTGTATCTCACCTGATGGTAAGTGATGATCAAGCCGAAGTTGGAAGCGAACTTCACCCGGAATCCTCAACCACGGAGGAACTGGCTATCTTACCTATAACTACCGGAACACAATGCTGTTAAAATTGTTGTTAAGGCGACAGACTTAGGTAAGATGGTGGTAGCTAGCCAGGCGGACTTAGAACAAGCCCTACCACCAAACAAACCGAACAGAAAAATCTGTCCCCACTGGGAATCGAACCCGGGACCTCTGCGTCTGAAGCAGGTGTTCTTACCACTAGACCACAGAGGCGGTTAAATACATAGATGTCTATAGTCAGCTAACAACGTAAAGGAGTCTAAGAAGGCCGCAGCCTGAAGGCAGGCAACAAGACCAAAGGCCCGCGCGCGCAGAAGATCTCGCAGCCCGCGCCCGTCATACTGGAAGCTGATTCGGAGGAGGAACTGGAGCCCGAGGTCGAGGTATGTAGACCCTTAACTGACATAGAAGTCCACCGTCAGCTAACAACGTATATGAGTCAAAGAAGGCTCTGAAGAAGCCCGCGCCCATCATTCTGGAGGCTGATTCGGAGGAGGAACTGGAGCCCGAGGTCGAGGTATGTAGACCCTTAACTGTCTTTTTTATCCACAACGAGGATGCTCTTGGCCTGTATCTCACCTGATGGTAAGTGATGATCAAGCCGAAGGTGGAAGCGAGCTTCACCCGGAATCTTCAACCACGGAGGAACTGGCTATCTTACCTATAACTACCGGAACACAATGCTGTTAAAATTGTTGTTAAGGCGACAGACTTAGGTAAGATGGTGGTAGCTAGCCAGGCGGACTTAGAACAAGCCCTACCACCAAACAAACCGAACAATCTGCCCCCACTGGGAATCAAACCCGGGACCTCTGCGTCTGAAGCAGGTGTTCTTACCACTAGACCACAGAGGCGGTTAAATACATAGAAGTCTATAGTCAGCTAACAACGTATAGGATCTAAGAAGGCCGCAGCCTGAAGGCAGGCAACAAGACCAAAGGCCCGCGCGCGCAGAAGATCCCTCAGCCCGCGCCCGTTATACTGGAAGCTGATTCAGAGGAGGAACTGGAGCCCGAGGTCGAGGTATGTACAGTCACGGAATGAAAAGGTTCGTCAGTTTTCAAATTGATTCCTTCAACGAATCGCGAGCACAAATTACCTTTTGAAACTATGTTACAGAATGATCTCGAGTTAGAGAAAATAATATTTAACTGTTCGTCAGTAAAGTTCAAAATTATTCAGATCAAAGTTGTTTGACGATTTATCTTGTCAAGAAGATTATTATGATTGATAAACTAAAACCTTCTTGTTAGTTCAACCTGCCATTATTATTTCTATTAAATAAAAAAAGCTATTGTCAATGAGGAAGATGAGTGTAATTATTTTATAATGTAAAAAGATGAAACATAAAATATAAAAAATATTAGTGAAAGAATTTTTTCGATATCTCAAAAACTGAATTTTCTATGGGCATTCAAAGTTGGATGTTTTAAAAATCAACTCGCACTTGACCGTTTAGCGCGTGACGTCACACCGCCCGTTACCTCCGCCGGGATGGCATTGNAGAGGGAATGTAACGACCCGCCTCACTATCTGCAATAGAAATAAAGACGAGAGATACGAAGATTCAAGTAGAACAGAAAAAGAAAGACGTAACAGACTCAAACTATAAAAATCAGGAAAAACGTTGACGACCCTCGATAGAGTTAGAAACCAGTTTTAACTGTGACAAAACAGACTGTACCTTACTTCCGATTCTTGATCGTACACTGATTCCATAGAAAGTTACAAAGTGTATACTAATAACTTTTTAAAGTGAACAAAAAAAATGTCTGATCTTTGTGTCAGATGGTTATGGTGGTAGTACTACTGACACATATATTTTTGATACTGCCTTGTATAGTTCACATCTTTGACTTTAATAAATTTTAGCTGAGATCCAACTTGCACAACAGTTTTGGTTTCCTCCAATAGCACGCTACTTCGGTACAAGCGGGATCTTCACTACGTCTATACATATAACCTTAAAACCAATTAATGCCATTGTATGTTTGCATTCTTCATTGCTTGCTGCACAAACTCCGCATTCCAGATTTTCCAATTTATTCGTTATCTTCAGCACAAACAAATGTACAATGATATGCCGTAGCTCTAACTTTGTGTTCAGGTGTAGTAACTCTTGTTTTTACTGTACACCGCGGATATTATAGTCTTTTCAAATGAACTTACCCTACGAGTATTACATTATGTCCATAATTTGATAGTTGGATAGTTAGTCTATAACACGACTGGACGTGATCGTCCAACTCTGTAAAAATAAAATATTAAGACATAACGTTGCTAAATTATTGATGGGTATTATTTTTTATCGATAACCCACAGCAATCTGACTGACAGCACTAGTACTTTTACTTTTAAACTAGATAGAACTTTTATAATCTACCTCAAATACTACAAAAAGCGTAAATACTAAATACTCAATTATTTATTGCATCCATAATAATAGGTTCACTTACCTTGCAAGTTTTAGCACTTGGATTTCTGCAATAATATAGGTACTTTGCATGTTTTCTGAAAGTATCCGCAACCATAAGTAAATCTACTTTCGGAAGATTATTTGGTTGGCATCAGATACGGTTAATATAAATAAAAAATGTATCGAAATGAACGAAAATAAGTTTACAGAGCGCAGCTAGCACCCGCGCCGCCCGTCCGTCGTTGCCCAACGAGCGGTGTGACGTCACCGCCCGTATTTCAGGGGTGCTATCAGTTTTCGCGCGTTCCCATATTGATTTGCTTATAAAATATTCAATTTTCGTGATATCAACAAAATTTTTTCACAGTTAGTCTTATTTTAGCTTAAAGTTTTTGTTAGGGCTGAAAAAGGGGAATAAATTTTGATTTACATCTTCCTCATTAGTCAATGTCATCATTGCATTGCACTGATGGGATAGAAAAATAAACAAGCAAAACCTTATTCGTTAGCAAACGTCATATTTAAATTTAAATGTTAGCAGCACTGTTTCTTGCACTGTTATGTTGGCAGGTTTGACTCTTACAGTACCTAGTGCAAGCGAAAACCGACACTAAGGTGACGAACCTTTTCATTCCGCGACTGTACATTGTACACCCTTAACTGACATAGAAGTCTATAGTCAGCTAACAACGTAATGGCGTAATACATCAAAAGACGTCACTAGCGAGCGTGTTTAAAAAATATATGAAGATTTTAGTTCTTGAAAGTTTCCGCTCGGGGCGCTGTACAATCCATCATACATTTAATGTCACTTTTATACGCAGTGGACATTGAATGCGTTTGACGTAAACTCACTACGCCCTCCTACGTAAAGCATGAGCACCGGTGACCACAGGAGTTTTGAAGAAAAATCTCTTCGCCGTAATTCTCCAGATCTTTGCTGGCCCTTATCCGTATTAAACGATGTAGTAACGAATGTTTTTGATCGTGTTCCAACAGCAAGAGACAGCCGGCGCGGACGCCGACGCCGAACTGTTAGCTCAGCTGACAGGCGCACCGCTGGCAGACGACGAGCTGCTATTCGCAGTACCAGTCGTAGCGCCCTACTCCGCGCTACACAACTACAAGTGAGTGTCATTTTAGGTCCCTGTTTCCATGTCCTATTCGTTCGTTCCACCTGATGCCGTTCACTGCTGGACAAAGACCACCCCACAGATTCCATAATGACTGGTCCTGCGCGGTCCGTACCCACATGCTTTCACTATAAATTTTGCGGTCCGTCGTCGCCACTCGAGAAGGCTTTAAAATGTTAAATTAGTTATGTTTATTCCTATTTCTGACTATGTCTGTAGTCAAGCTGTAGGTACCCATGTACTTCATCAATAATGTGTGAAAACGTGTTTAGACCCGTAATTATTTATTTCAAACTAGCTGACCCGGCGAACTCTGTTCCGCCTTAAAGGGAATTAATAAGCAAATCTTTCCTTATTTGCTCACCGTTTAGACCTACGCTGGACTACGACAAACATTTTAACACCAAAATCAGCTCAATCGGCCCAGCCGTTCTCATTTTTATTTATTTCAAATATTTATTCCCATTAAACAATCACTTAACTTCCCAGGTACAAAGTAAAACTGACTCCCGGTACCAGCAAGCGCGGTAAAGCAGCCAAGACCGCAATACAGGTGTTCTTACGCGACCGGGCGTGCACCGCGCGCGAGCGGGACTTGCTCAAAGCGGTGAAGGAAGAAAACATCGCCCGCAACTTCCCAGGGAAGGTCAAGCTGTCTGCGCCGCAGCTGCATAAGCATAAGAAGTGAAACCAAGTCTGCTGGTATAATAATCAGGTAAAGCCCGGTCGCCGAGCACGTAGAAATTCGTCCAATGACCCCAAGCTACCGATCCTTATCGCTCGCGCCTAATTATGTTGCTGTCGCGCTCGCACACTCACTGCGGCCGCCCGTTGCACAGTCGCGACGGCAATATAATTACACGCGAGCGATAAGGATGGGTAGCTTGGGGTCATTGGACGAAATTCTACGTGCTCGGCGACCGGACTATAGTTGAAAGTAATTTTGCTCCAAAAGAAACTGTATTTTTTTATTAGATTAAAACAAAAAGGGAGATCACGCGTCTTGGAACTGTCACTCAAATTGATGCCCTTGCGCTAAGCTTGATATTCGTCCGGGTTTTCCCGGAGTTGTCCTAGTTTAGAGGGTATCCTGGGTGTGTCTGGTTACATTTTGTAGTCCGGGCTTAAAAATGACACTGACATTCGCCATGTTGTCAGAGCCATTTTTTTTCTAAAGCATTGTTTTCCTTTTTGTTTTAATGTTCATTTAATGTGAGTTTCTAATAAATAAAACCGATATTATTGACACTGAGCACCCTATGCATCGAGTGACTTTAGTAAAATAACACTTTTTTAGCTCAAATGCAAACAGATTATCCAAGCTATATCAATCGTTATAAATAATGAAACTGAAGTGATATTATTGTTATTGTAAATAATTTGTTTCGCGTAATTATCGCCTTTTTCTTATTAAATAGTGTTTAAACGTTTGTATGATTTTTATTTACGACGTTTAAAATTACAAACCTCAAACATGTTAGTTTCTATCGTGAAATTTTCAATAGTTAAAGTGCTTTTTAAAAGCCTACTTGCAAAAACAAAATTATTTTTTTATCAGTTTTTATGAGTTTTTATTTTATAACTCAAAATAAAACAACCATTTAAAAATTAACTCAACGTTACATTAAAATAAGAACCATAATTCAACAAAACAGCTTTTTGACTATAGTCTGGTCTGCGAGCACGTAGAATTTTGTCCAATGACCCCAAGCTACCCATCCTTATCGCTCGCGCGTAATTATGTTGCTATCGCGCTCGCACACTCACTGCGGGTTCCAGTCGCACAGTCGCAACAGCAATTACGCGCGAGTAGGATGGGTAGCTAGGGGTCATTGGACAAAATTCTACGTGCTCACGGACCGGGCTTTAGTGTACCAAGCATGATCAATGGCCAGTCATTCTCAACCTTACTGCGTGGGCATAAGGTGCTAGTCCTCGTCCTCTTCCTCCTCGCCGAAGCCTTCCCCCTCTCCAGGCAACTCGGGCGGGGGTGGGGGCGGAAGATGCGCGATGCGGTATGCCTGTAGACAAATCGTATGTGTTATAGAACTTCTTAAAATATTTAGGCTGATGGTTTTATACTATAGCATACTTTGCGGCGCGCTCCCACGACAAAACTATTGATTTTCCAAAAAAAAATATAATACGTAAAATAGGAAATTTCTCTAGTTTTAGTTTCTCTAAAAAGCATGTTTTATCATAAAATTAATCCGAATAGAAATATTTAAAAAAACTGCTACTAGGCAGCATTTTTTCCAATATGGCGGCGCGAGCGGCAACCTTACGAGGTCGCAAAGTTGAAATTCGTAAAGAGCACATCGAAATCTATATAAATACCAATTTTCATTACTCCCGGAAAACTTTCTAGGTAAAACTACCAAATGACTGGACTACTATACATTGTTTATTTTTTTTTAATAGGAGAGTCAATCAAATTCAATCAATATTGAATCCAAATGCCAAAATATTAAACTTTCGTTTGCCATTTAGATTTATTTTCCCAAAAATGCACAAAGATCGCCGATTCCATACGTTCGGCTACACAGGATATTTTATAATATCGACCCGAATCGAGACAACTGCGCATCTGGCCGTGACGTCACATCGACGCTCTGATACAGCCACGGGGTGAACGCGGATGAGTGCGAGGGAGACGCATTCCAGCGATGTTCGCAGTTAGCTCGATAGGATTGTAATTAAAATCTCAGACAAACTGAACTAATCTCACATTGAATAGTGAGGTTACACAAAATGTTGAGTTTTCCAGAGAATCGTAAGTTTAGTTGAAACTAAACTTGATTAGATCAAATTGCTTTTTACTCGCACATACATGAAAATTTTATTTCCAACTAGCTGACCCAGCGAACTCTGTTCCGCCTTAAAGGCAATGAATAAGCCATCGTAATTTTTCCTTATTTGCTTACCGTTTAGACCTTCCCTGGACTACGACAAACATTTTAAAACCAAAATCAGCTCAATCGGCCCAGCCGTTCTCGAGTTTTAATCAGACTAACGAACAGCAATTCATTTTTATTTATATAGGTAGAAGATAGATATGTAAGCCAAATCAACCAAAAGTCTCTCACCTCCTCGTCAGCAAATGTTGGGTCTGCCATCTCCATGACCTCAGGCCCGATGGGGTACTCGTCCTGTGGCCGCGGCAGCTGAAGCGGTGAGAAGTTGGGCGGCTGGAACTTTAGCCCCCAGCCAACGTACATGCATTCTGCTTTCCTGGATAATAGGGATTGAACGCTGCTGAATGGCATGTTGATAAATGCTGCAGGGACAGCCAATAAACACGGGGTGTCTGGACTAAACTGGCCGCAAGAAGCGTTCAAACATTACGTATCAAAGACGCGCCCCACCAATTTTTGGTCGAGAGAAGCGCGGGGTGCGGGGAGTTTGATCCGAGCAATCCGAGAGTCATTATTGTATTGTGTGTGTGCACTCATGGATGATTTAGCATGTACCGATAACAGTCAAAAATTAGCGGAAGAGTGGTGTGGCGCGTCTTTGTGGATGAAATGATCTATAACGCAAATTGGGGGGAGGGGGGGTCACGTAAATCATTACGATGCATTACAAGGAAGTGGTTTTCGAACTACGCGTTACATAACATTGCTTGCGTTGGCAACACTTCCCGTATTTTTCTGTAAATGCCTCGATTTCGTTCGAAATATCGTCTAAAGGGAAAAAAGTCACCGATAATTTCGCATGACTGTTAATAAAATTGATTGGACACGTCAACATATGCAGTAGCAAATCAATTGTCTATCATGGCATACGTATACTTTATGGTTTAATTAGCTTTTGCCCGCGGCTTCACCCGCGTGAAATTAATTTGTCACAGATCGTCATAAATTATGGCCTATATGTTAATCTGGGTTATAAACAATAATACTGTAAAGTTTCAACAATATCCGTTCAGTAGTTTTGGCGTGAAAGAGTAACAAACATCCAGACATCCACACAAACTGTCGCATTTATAATATTAGTAGGATCATGGCTTACGTAACTTTCAAGCTAATAAAGGGCATAGAAAGGTCACGAACTTGCCAGAGGTCGCGTAAGCAACAGCCCCAGGCCAGACGTTGCTCCTGAGCACAGCGAGTGCTCGGTCCGGCGCTAGAATGGAGCTGCATCGAGGGGTCCAAGCTGGTAAGCCTTCGACCCTCGCATCCTCTGATAGGGGGGTGAAGAGAGGGGGGCCGGACTCGGGCTCCATGGGGGGAGGGCCTTCGTCTTCTTCTTCTTCGACGCCCTCCTCCTACGAACGAATATAAAACTATAGGCCTAGAGTTTAACTGACTTAGGCCCGATTCGACCAAACTTTTATCCGAGAATAACTCCGGGTATAACTGGCACATTGACAGTTTCAGTATGGGAAATATGTCAAAATATTGAATAACTAGCGATTTATTCTGAGATTAATATTTACTCTTGTTTGGTCGAATCCACCCTTAGGCTGAGTTATACCATCTCACTTTTACTTTAACAAACGTCAAAAATCTCTCATATTCCATGCAAAAAACACCGGTTGTTGTAGTTACGGTTAAAGTAAGTCGGTGCAACTCAGCCTTAGTGCCTGAGGCATGGGAATGGGAGCAACACGGGAGGGTGTTTTTGTGATGTCAAACGTCAACGACAGTTGATGTGCTTCAGATTTGTATGCTTTGTCTTTGTCACGTCATAATATGTCAATGTCACCCCTCACTTACGCGCTAGACTTGTGTTAATGGATGACCCCAAAAACTGCACATAAGTAGGTTCACTTGTGTGCTGTACTAATCTATTATATTACTTCTGTAAAAACAAACTGCTTACTATCCCAGCATTGGGGTTCCACCAAATGGTGCGACCTTGCTTGAGGATATGGCGTCCATGGTGCACCCAGTACGTGAGATTGGGGTCCAAGAGGTCCTTCAACGTGTGCCCCTGGTAGAACGGATTGGGGTTGAAGTCCAGGTCACCTATAATCAGAATAGTTCTGATAAAGATAAGATTAAGATATCATCAAGAGTTATTTCTGTCAAGATAGAAAAGTTTTCGCATGAGATTAAATGCATTATGAAATCGCAATCTTGAATTCTAAGATAGCGTAAGAATGTTCACCTCGGAAACGATAAGCTCTTAGAAGAATTAGCGACAATCCTATCCTGAAAAAGCAATGCTTTCCAGCTACAGAGTTAAGGTAAGGTCTTAGCACACTTATCAACTCTGGAAGGGATCACGAGGCAAGACATTTACATTACGGTGCGGATAGTGTATAATAATAATAGTGCATGTTGCATACAGAGTTTTTTTTTTTATCCACAACGAGGAAGCTCTTGGCCTGTATCTCACCTGATGGTAAGTGATGATCAGGCCGAATGTGGAAGCGAGCTTCACCCAGAATCCTCAACCACGGAGGAACTGGCTATCTTACCTCTAGCTGCCGGAATACAACAATGCTGTTGGCGACAGACTTAGGTAAGAGTTTCACACGAAGAATACCGACTGCCTCGAGTTGATGCGGTTTAGGTACGACCCGTTTCCGGGTTGATAAGTATGCTTCGTCCTTTACACTCACCACCGCCCTCTTCCATGTCAATATCCTCCTCTTCCTCGCCCGAACCGAAGGTGAAAAACCCTTGGGGGGAGACGCAGCTGCCTGCAGCGATGCGCGCGATTTGTGCCCGAAGGAAGTTGCGTTCTGTGCCTTCGAATGGGGGGAAACTCAGCACCTAGACCAAGCGATTTGAAAGCATGGAAAATATTACAATATTTTCCACTTTGATCACCTGGATTTGATCACCCAAGTGATCAAATTGGACTCCAGACAACACTTTGGTGTCCTTTAAACACCCATGAATTGATGGATAAGATTACCTAGGAGATCAAAGTGGACTTGTTATCACTGGGTTATCAAAGGACACCAAAGTGTCGCCTGGAGTCCACTTTAATCACCTGGGTCACCAATCATCCAGGTGGTCAAAATGGAATAGATCTGGCTAAAGCTATTAGATGAACCTACAAAATTGTAGCTGTTCTACTGGCTAACCTCTGCATCAAGATCTCCGGTCATGCAGCGAACAGTGAGCCTCGCCACGCGGATTTGCTCAGGTATGAGGTCTGGCAAGCATATCCACGGTTCGCCTGGTTGGTTGCACACCCAGTACACCTGATGATCGCAATAAAATATGGAAAAATAACATTTGAATGAATTCAAAAGGTAAACTAAAAGGATTATGCCCGTTTTCACCTTCAAACCCTAATTTTTAAATGACCCCTATGGTAACACATTAACTATATTAATTTTGTTTTCATAAGGTTCATTTGAAAATTAGGGATTGATGGTGAAAACGGGCATTAATCTCTTATCTAACCTCTCTTTTCTTTCACTGTAACTCCTGTATTTATTATAGCCAGAATCTATAGTTTGGCCTTCGATAAACCAAATCAGACAGTCAAAGTTCGGAATTAACTTTAACTGTCTGATTGGGTTTAGTTTAGGGATAGGTTAGATTCAATGGATGGGCGCACAGTACACCTTGGAGGTGTGCCCAGCGTGGGATGTCGAGCGGGAGTCCCTCGTTGTCGCCGTAGGAGACGACCTCTCTCTGCAGGCCGTAGTGGCCCGCATGGTGGGGAGTAAGGAGGTATGGCAGGCGATGCTCTCCTTCTGCGAGGCAGTTATCTCGCAGAAGGAAGCGGCGGAGAGGGAGCGAGAGGCTTCGGCTGACGCCCCTATGATCCGCCGCCGTCGTCCAGGGCGTCGCAGGGTTTACAACCTCCACGCTCCTCCTTAGGAGTCTCGACCGCCGGGTATGGGGATGCCCGGCGGGCGCCTAACGAGACCCGTGGCGCCGGCGCACCAGTGTCCAGGGCGCCGCCAGCGGATGACCCGAGGGGAATCACTATTCCCCTCGAAGCTGGAGGGGCTCACCCAAGAGCGAGCTGTAGCCTGAGAAGGAGCCGCGGACGAATGTCCAATAGGACAATAACTCGCGGCTTCGTATCATTGGCCCCGGAGGACACTGTCAGGTTTTAGTGGGTAGGCCCCGCCCTCCCGGCGGGGAGAGTCCCACATAACCCATTGACTGACTGTCCCCATCAGCCAGTGGGCATGCGCAAAGAATTTACCGACGCAAAAAAAAAAGATTCAATGGATGGGAACAATGAATTTATTTAATCAGAAGAATCGAAAGCTGATGGATGATGATGATGACCTGGATGCAGGCAGTGAAGGTACGGTCGGTGTGGAAATCCTTGAGGTAGGCCTTTGTCCAGCAGTGGACGACATTTGGCTGAAACGAACGGAAGCATCGAAAATTGTTCTTGACCACCTTTTTATTGACGCCTTGCCCTGGTCGCTCGACGGGTATCGGTGGAGGGGGCTGCCAGGTAGACACCGGTTCTGGAGGTAGCTTCGGAGGCACTGGTTCCTTCGGTTTCTCTTCCCGAGCTTCGCCTTCGCCCACTAAATGAAAACAAAGTGGTTTTCATTAAGAGGCGTCAAATTGCCTTTGGAAGCTCGGTGACGTTATGTGTAAAAAGTCATATGCTGCGTAAGCTTTCACCTGACAAAATGATCTTTTGGGTATAATAAACCATTTCATTATCACCGTTGTTTCTACACGGACGTTGGAAGCGGACCCTATTTAATTTACCAGAGACAAATGGAAGATACTCCCCACTCTTACTAAACGGGTTGCGGTCTGGTGATCTTTTATTTCTACCTAACCGATTCGTTGCATATGGCACGTCATTTTGAAATCGATGGTTAGAAGAAGAAACTAAAAGGAATTAAACGTACTCAGTTCCTTCTGCTCCTCAGCCTCTTGCATGCGACCCTCCCCTTCCCCCTCCCCCTCTCCAGGCATGTCCTTCATCTCGAACTCCTGAGATTAAGACAAGGGAACAATGAGATCTAGTCTACTATACGTCTAATAAAAATCTGGATAATTTCTGTGAAATACATGTGTGTAGGTCGTAAATATTCGTATTTTGTGTTTCATAGATTCTGATTCTTTTCGAATGAAGTTCTTTTCGTTTCATTTGAAATACATTTTGATACTATCTGCTACACTTACCTATCTGATGCCAGAGTGTTCAATTTAATTTAAACATAAGATAAAGTAATTCTGTAGATACCCTAATCCTCCTGTCGAGTTCTTCGATAGTCAGATCTGTCTCCGCCACGTAATAGTTTGCTTTTGTACCATAAATCTTGCCGAAGAAACTGGAAAAGTCAAAAGATTATCTACGACTTTAAACAGACTCGGACTATTTAATATTCTCGCACGCAAAACCTGAACTACGTGATTCGTTGAACTCATTTTATTCACATAAAGCATACAGTGTCAGAGGCGTCTCTAGCCCGTGTAGCAGCTGTGTGCAATCATTAACATAATAACATCCTCCATCCACTAGTCTCTGCGTCTGTGTGCAACGCATAGTAGGTTCGTTCGTTCGTTTCAGCCGAAAGACGTCCACTGCTGGACAAAGACCTCCACCAAGGATTTCCACAAAGACCGGTTCTGCGCCGCTCGCATCCCGGTATTCGTTCTTATCTATGGTGCAACACACACACTGCACCACCTCTAGGCTGCTTGACTGAGTTAATCAGGTCTTAGGGGCTTTTACGAATGCTGTATCAAAATAACTTACCGAACGGTAGCAACCGGCTCCTTGATCGCTAGCATGTTGAGCGCGATGTATACTGCGTAGCACTCACTGTCTGGGAGACCATAACCAGCCTGTCCAAAGAAAGAAAGAAAGATACATTTATTACAATGGACATCACACAAATACAGGCAATTACATAGACATGACAGTGGCACATAATAATGGAACAAGAAAAAAAAAAGAAAAAAACAAGAGTAAACTGAGCAGTGCCACCCACCCACCAATAAGATGCCCACTGCAACGGGACCCCACTCAGCATATGCCGTGGCCCACGGTGACGAAGGCCACGGCGCTGGTTTTCAGTGTGCCCCATGCATTCAAAGAAGGAAAGAATACAGAGGTATTGAAGGTGTTAGCTAACTTCACAATCCTTGAGGAGAGAAGAGATTCTTGAGATGATTATCAAGGATTTAACGACTCCGAACAAACGCAGATGTGCGTTAGGGCTATATTTCACCGGGACACCATGGCGGCGCAACCAGCCGCCGGCTACCAACAAAATGTATACAGCTCTATAGAGTTACTCACCTGGTATCCGTTTGGCTGCGCAAAGCTGTATACCTACATTTTGTTGGAATCGGCGACTGGTTGCGCCGCCATGGTGTCCCGGTGAAATAGCCCTTATGTAATCTTTGATGTCACTCACCTCACGAAAATAATAATTATGGTCGATTAAATCCGAGATCCGCGGCTTCACGTTGTCTTCTTCTAAATCTAACTCCTGCTCCTCTTCTCCCATATCTTCTAGCTTTTGAGACTTGCTGGCAACTAACTGTAAAAAAGAGCATACTGATCATAGGCAGGTAATCTACAAACCCACTTTCCTGGGTGTAGAATTGACAAATTCTCCTAATCAGAAGTTCTGGATTTCGATACCCAGACTAAACTGTAAAAAAAACTACAGCCCTTCAATTTTAGCTACGATTAATTAGGTCACTATCAGATCTATTTACTTAAGTCTGAAACAACTTCACACCATCTTTAATGCCATATAAAGTATGACGAACTCAATGCCGTACCTAATGCATTCTCTGACAGGTAACCTTCGGGCACAAAAAATCTAATCATACCCTGAACATTTCATCAACGCGTCGCACAATAGACAGCTGCGGCGGCGATAGGTATATGTCGTTGAGGAGGTCGAAGTTGGGACGGAACTTCTCCTGCTTCACCTCCCAGGAGTACTGCTCGAAGCTGTCCACCACGTCCGGCGGCTTCTGCGACAGGATCTTGTGCACCACGTCCACTAGGTGGTCGTATCTGTATAGTTAGTGCAAGCGTTTCATAATCGGGTTCGATTCCCGGTTATATCACCTACTCTATGTTTTTAATAAGCACTTACAGTGTGTCTCCTGTGGCCGCGCATTGCTGCTTCAGGAAATTCTTCGCCAGAACCAAATCATTGTTGAGATCTGGCATAACATTTTCAGTTGCGGCTATTATATCGGGCTCCAGTAAAAATGTTTGCGACATTTTGAGGGTTTCACATGAGAGTAAAAGTAAATTAAACTAGAAATCCAATTCTACTGTGGATTTCTGAAAATAATGTTTTCATTTGATATAGATTTCAAACCATGACAGGTTCTGTCGTAATTTTTATCATTTGAGTTTTTAAATAAACAAATTGCTTCAACCTTGAATGCTTTTTGCAACCAAAACACAGATTACATATTAGTGAACCAAAATAAACACGAAGACGAATGCATCCGTTGCGAAACGTCAAAATTTGTGTTTTGGACTTGAATGTCAAAGAGGTTATTTAATTTTCAACTTGATTTTTCTATTTATTTTAGCGCTGTAGGAAGTTTAAAAGTGTTTGTGAATGATCTACTACACCAAAAAATAAAACCATCGGACAATCCCAATGTTCTTCCTAAAATTATAACATCTGCTGGTAAGTGGTGCTCTCAAAAACAAATCAAAACAATAGCAACAAAATCGCGAAATGGCAACGAAATTCGACGCGGCTGCTTACAATTTTCGTAAAAAATGTCCGTACATAAGCAAGGATTTGCTCAGGTGGTTCCCCGGCCACATGAACAAGGGTCTAAAGCAAATGCAGCGCAAGTTAACGAGCGTAGACTGTGTCATCGAAGTTCACGACGCTAGAATACCCTTCACTGGCAGAAATCCCATATTTACGAAGACCGTAACAGGTGCTAAACCCCACATATTGGTCCTGAATAAAATGGATCTGACTATGAAGTCGTTAATTCCCAAAATAAAAGACCAGTTAAAAGCAGAACAAAATATAGAACATGTAGTGTATACGAACAGTAAAGACCAACATTGCCTTGGATTAAAGATGTTGAGGCCTCTCATGGTCGACCTGATCAAAAATTCAAATAGATACAATAGGACAGAAGAGTCAGATTACAATGTAATGATCATCGGAGTGCCAAATGTTGGGAAATCATCGTTGATAAATATGATGCGGTCGAAAAACATGAGTGTAAGACATGCCTTACCTGTAGGAGCAGTGGCTGGGGTGACTAGAAGTCTGATGACCAAAATGAGGATCAATAATGACCCTACTATATTCATGTTGGATACACCTGGTGAGTAATATTTAATTAGAATATTAATTTACAGCAATAATAAGGTATTCAGTTGTTAGTTTATCCATATCTAGGGTTGCCATCTCTCCAGGTTTCCCTGGACTTTTCCTAGTTTAAGAAGGCATCCAGGTGGTGTTTTATTTGTTGTCCTGTTATAAAAACCTTATGTCTTGGGCTAATTCAGGGTGATGCAACTAAGTTTTATACAAAAGCTGACATATCCAGGTTCTGGGCTTCAAAATCAGGGTTTTCACACATCTTGTTCTGGATGCCAAATTTTAGAGATGGCAACCCAGTCCTATTTTGCCATAGCCTGCTTATTTAACCACTATGTAATAAATTGTTCATCTTATGTATCAGGTATCCTGGAGCCCTCCGTAACTGATATTGAGGCAGGTCTGAAGCTAGCGTTGTGTGCGTCGCTGCAAGACCACCTGGTCGGGGAGGAGGCCATCGCGGACTACCTGCTGTACTGGCTCAACAAGCACGGCAAGTTCAAGTACGTGGACTACATGGGACTCCTGGAGCCTTGTGATGATATCCACCAGGTGAGATGTTGTATGATTAGAAGTTAAATTTATTTTATTTTTAAAATATGAATTCTATCTATCTATTGTTTATTGGATTGTCTACTTTATCATTATCTAAATCATGTAATTACAAAATCGATGTAACTAGAACTAATAAAAACCATTAGTTCTAGTCACCTTCCTGCAGAGTAACAAAGATCCATTCTCAAAGTTTCAAACAATCTAAATAAAATATAACTCAAAGGTGATCAACTATCAACTATCAACGCACAGCCCAAACCACTAGACGGATCGGGCTGAAATTTGGCATGCAGGTAGATGTTATGACGTAGGCATCCGCTAAGAAAGGATTTTACGAAACTCCACCCCTAAGGAGGTAAAACGGGATCCACGCGCACGAAGTCGCGGGCGGTCGCTAGTTAATATTATAAAGAGGAAAGATTTGTATTTTTGTATTGAATAGGCTCCAAAACTACTTGACCGAATTTCAAAATTCTCTCACTACCCCCAGGTGTTATTCTCGGGCGCGCGCAAGATGAACCGCGTGCGGCGCGTGCGCGACTTCGACGGCAGCACGCGCGACGTGCCCGATCTGACCGAGGTGGCACGCACCATGATCAAGGCCTTCCGCACAGGCGAGCTGGGCCGCGTGCTGTTGGATGTAGACTTGTTGAAGAACCACCCGAGTCACGCTAGCCGTAGCACGAGGCAGATGGCGTAGCACGAGGCAGATGGCGTAGCATGAGGCAGATGACGTAACAACGAGACAGATGGCGTAGCAACGAGGCAGATGGCGTCGCGTAGTTCATGGCAAAAGTTCAAAAGGTTAACTTGCACCTTTTGAGATTGAAGGTAACAGACAAGTTAAGAGCTTGCCAACCTTTTGAGGTGAAGAGCCACCGTATACACTAAATATCATGTAGCTACGAAGATTTATGACATTTTATAATTTTAATAGTTAAATAATTAATTTTGTGACTGAAACTAGAAAGCACAAAAGACGTGTTAATTTTTTTTCCCTTAAAATTTCACAAAGCTTGCAAGGCCTAAGTGTTCACTGTGCTGCTAACCAAGCGAGTCACGCTAGCCGTAGCACGAGGCAGATGGCGTAGCACGAGGCAGATGACGTAGTAACGAGACAGATGACGTAACAACGAGGCAGATGGCGTAACAAGAGGCAGGTGCCGTAGCTCAGGACTCGGCAACGTTTTGATGTGGGAGCGCGGCGAGACAAATGGCGTAGTTCAGTGCTGCAAACTAACCTTTTGAGGTAAAGAGCCAATAGTAACAATTTACAAAAATACAGTTTGTAAGACCACAAAAATGTTTTATATTTGATGACCTGTGGCGTAGATGGAGTAGTTCAGGATTTTAGCTAAACGTTTGATAGACAGGTCTTTGGGTAACAGGGTCCCATACTGTCCAATATTATTGTCAAAATCCTAAATATACTAAACTCAATCCGTTAATATTAGCCTATCGTACGGGACTTCCCACTTCTCGTTCCCACCGCTACAACTCCTGTGTAGGCAGGATCTACAGTTAGACCGCCAATAAAAACCTAACCAGTAAAGGTCAAGTATATCGATACCTCTGGGCTCAAAGGTCGTAAAGGACAAAATACCGAAAATGAGTTATTTATACAGTTTTACTCAGAATTTCATTCTCTATCGATCTGTATATTTAGTTTGTCGAAAATCCCAAAAAAAGTGCCTTTACGACCCATCATTTTTGCTATGCTAAACAGAATTAATCGTGAAAATTGGGATGTAAATAACATTTGATTTTTTAGTACAGTTACTATGGTAGTAAAGAACAAGTAAACACACATTTTTGGGCGTATAACCTAATATTTTCATACCAAAGTCTAAATAATTTGTCCTTTACGCCCTTAGATTATCTAAACAAATATTTTAAAATCTACAAAAAGAGGATATTAAAATAACTGAAAAGGTAAATTTATTAGATGTTTCTTATTGTTTTTAAGTATGTGCGTTTTGAACAAACGAAAGAAATAAAAAATCATCAAAAATATGTAATAAAACTATTTTAGAGTGTAACATTTATGTGATTTGTACATATAAAATGATGATATCTACCCACATCGGGTAATGTAGCTTTTTATTATTTCTCATATTACTAGAGACTAGGCATTTGTCAGGGAAAAAGATAATTTTAAAAGATGATTTAAGAAAATGAAAACATGCTATAAAATAACGTATTACCTAATTAAGGTAGGATAGTCATCATCAAAATTGAAAAAATGAAAAAGTTACATTTGTTAAGAATATTATGAAAAAAAAAGTCGCCTTACTGTAGTACCTCAACGGCCGGTTCACGCATGTCTCCGTTTTACTGTTTCGTTTTATCGTGTACGTTTTTTTTCGTCAAGTACAATAACATAAAACGGAACAGTAAAACGGAGACATGTGTGAACCGGCCGTAAGGTGTCATTATTTTGTATGCACAAATCACAAAAATGCTACATTTTACAATTGTTTTAATGATTTCCTAGTAATTTTGACTAACGCCCTCGGTCAAAACCACTTTTGAGTTTTGACTGTAATAATTATAATAAATAAGTATAGTTTCTAAAGTTATTTGGATCAGCTAATAAAATATAACTAATCTTACTTACCTAACCTTTCTACTTTTGTACCAAGTACAATAACATAATTTCTAGCTAGTATGAATAATAATGTTTAATCTTTTTAGAATTTAGAATAACTACTTTGGTTTTCCTTTGTCCTTAATAATTCTATCCTATCTGCATTATCATAAGGTCAACTGGTTGACAGACTGCCCTATGGAATTAAGTCCGTCATTTCTTGTTTTTCGAAAAATTAATAATGATGAAATAAATAAATAAAATCAAATTGGTTTCGGCTTTTCGTAAAAAGTAGACATTTAAGAAGTTTTATTTAAAAGCGTCATAATACTTATTTTCTAATTTCGCTCTTATATCGGAAATGGTATCTTCTAGTTCGAAGATATCAAAACTTCTGCTTAAATACATAGATTCTAAAGTTATGTGCATTAAATTATGAAGCTACGAAAAAATATTTTATTTCATTAAAAACAAACATAATTTATTTAAATATGTGAAGAAATGGTATATTACCATATCAAATACCATAAAACATTAAATATTTAAGCTAAATTATCAATTTTTCCTTGCATAATACCTTACCTGGATATTCCGTTTACGACCTATGAAAACCTATAAAACTATGTAAATTGTCATTTATTACCTTGGTTTTGTAGTTTTGTAAAATAAAAATAGACTTACGTCCTGAGCAACTTGCCTAGGACGAATATTTGAGGGGCGTAAAGGTCTTTTTAATGTAATTTTGAGGGCGAAAAGGAAATCTATCTCAGTAAATACAGCTCTAGTCCAATTTTTCAATACCTCTTCGGAAAATGCTGTGAATTCTAAGCACTTTCTTCTTAGGTCATATTTTAATAGCTCGAAAAACAAAAAAGTTACTGTCGAATAAAAAAATAAAAAATCGTTTTTTGCTTCTCCTGAAAAGTCGTACTTTGTCCTTTACGACCTTTGAGCCCAGAGGTATCGATATCCCGGGGGAAAATTAAACTGTCATTGGACCCGCAACAAAATTAATTAGTAGTGTCCGACCGAAATTAGTTTTACGACCGAAACCGAAACCGAAAACGAATTTCGGCAACAGTGTCTATTTCGGCCGAAACCGAAACTTCCTTACNATTCGGTTTCGGTCGTAGTTTCGGCAAGTTTGCCGCCGAAAACGAAACTAAACCGAAACTCGTGTTTTTACCGAAACTCAACCGAAAACGAAACCGAATATTCGGTCGGACACTATTAATTAGAAGAAAATCCTAGCCTATTCTTTCAATTAAACTAATATGAAGATCGTTCTGCCTTCTTCCAAAAGTTGCTGTGCCTTTATCATTATGGATAATAATGTTGTATGTGGACAATAAATTATGATAAATCATTAAACGATTGAGTATTTAATTAATGTATAACCAAATAAATGTAAATATTGTAAATATGTAAGATACCTAATAAATAGTAGTAGGTATACCTCGACAAATACGTGTTTTATTACTTTTCCTTATAGCGCACGCTTGACCATAAAATACAAGGTTCACAAAACTTGCAAGGCCAATTACAAGAAGTCAACATTATGAATGTTAAAACTTTTTGCTATATCAAGCATAAAAAAAGACATCCTGTCAAACCATTTTAGAAAAATAATGTGACAACGTCAAAGTAATGAAAACCTCAATGTCCTCAATTTAAGTTCAAAATCAATGCCATAAATAAAAATTGAAACCTGAATAAAATATAAAAAAAATACATGGATACTAACAGTGCTCGCAGGTCATAGCAGGTCTTTCGAAGAATGTTCTGCTGCCTCTGAAGTTCTGATTGGATCTCAGGGTACGGGATCCAATATGAACCCCCTCCGGTACCTAGAAAGCATCGTCACATCGATCCAGGAGTACCGCTGGCTCATCGACATCGCGGCGGACTGCTATCCGATCGCCATGATGTCGAAAATACACACCGCCTGAACTGTGACGCGTCAGAACAAGTGTGCAGTCAGACGGCGTGCTGAGATGCTATGATGATTGTGTTTCCAAAACCTAAGAGAACCTCAGAAGACTCCTTCACCGCTTCCGTGAGCGCATCGGTCGGACGCGACTCCATCTCGGACAGAACATACTCGACGTCGGCGTTCGAAACCGACATCGAAACCTTCAGCTCGACTTTAACAGAGAACACCCTGAGCATGATAAGCACCCCGTGGACCACAGAGTCGTGGACCGTCGGGACGCTGGACTCGAACGCTCTGGGCTCGTCTGCCTTCTCGTGGCCGTGCAGCGACGAAACGATGAGCTCCTTCACCGACCTGCCAAACACCTCGACGTCCTACGGGGCCGTGAGTCCGCCCTTGAACAGCAGTAAGACCACCGTCACCATCCTCTGCGGCGGCGGCTCCTGCAGCGACAGCGTCCCTATAAAGCCGTTGACCCGACAGAACAGCAAGATGCAATCGACACCAGACACCTTCAGCTCGTGGACTGTTGAGACTTTCACGAGTTCTGGTTGGGTATCGGACATAGATTCGCAAGTCGTCAAAGCGAAATACCCTTGGAGTCCGAGCACCACGTTATCTGGGACCGACATCTACCCGAGCACTTTGGACTCGTTGACTTCTCGCAAAGGGAGCCGGGTGACGATAGCCACAACGGCGACATTCGGAAGCAGGAAAGGGGAGAAGGGACACATCACCCCCATGACCTACATAGGCCTCAACAACGCGCCCGAACACAACCATCTATTGAATTGGGCGATCGAGGTCAAACGCATTCCGTTAAGTGACTTGCCTAATATTATAGCTGCTGTGTAAAAAAAAAACGAAAGTAACAATAAGACATTTATTTAATAAAATAATGTTAAAATCACAAATTGTTTGCCTTGCCCTTAAATAACAATAAAGTAACAATGAGGTACTAGTACAATATACCTATAATTTAAATGCTCCGTATCTAATGTGCGCTTGGTTGTCGGACAACCTTTTACCACTTGCCACATTTATATTCTTACGACTAAAATATCCAATGGCAGTTTACTGTTTCGGCGTATTGCAGATGCCGATGACAGACTTGTAATACTTGGGGTCGTCGAGCGAGTCGACCAGGAAGGAGCCGAGGTCCCACTTGGAGATGGTCCTGCCAGGCGACTTGTCGGCGTTCACTTCTACTTGGATTTCGCGGCTGGGCTCGTCTGAAATGAGAAACTCGTATTAGGCCTTGTCTAGGAGGGCGAATTCGCCGCGAATGTCTTCGCGCTTTGCGTCCAGAGAAGCGATTCGAAACGCGAGTGTTTGGAGAGGGACTCAGTAGTGCAAAATACGTGCACTCGCAGCGCCGTCACGTTCGCGCGTTTACTGGAAGAGGTCCCTAGGCCTAGGTCTGGCGTAGTGCACGCGATTTATGTTATGTATTGGGATACTGATACTAGCAAGTATCTTGCCAACGCGCGTAGGATTCGCGACGAATTCGCCCGTCTGGACAAGACAAGCCGTGTTACTTTTGATGTTATTTACCAAAACCCTGTTAATCTTACCTGCTATATGTGGAGGGAAAACCGCGATCCAATCCAGAGGACTCTCCTTCAACGCTTGGTACATTCTCTTGTGGTCCTCGTTTATGCTGACGAATATCGGGGGCACTTTCTCCGGCTCGTAGAAGAGGAAGGCAGATATGCACGCGGAGACAGGCTTCACGTTTTTCGCGCGCATTGCGTCGATGATGTTCTTAGTGCCCTCGGACATGTCCGAGGTTGGGTCCAGACAGTTGCGGGTGCCCAGAGCTATGACCACCCCATCTGTGCCTTCCACGGCCTCGGAGACGGAATCAGGCTCGAGCACATTCCCTTCGAAGATCTCCACCTTATCCTTGAGATACTCTGGCACTTTAGCGGGGTCCCGAACGAAAGCTCGCACCGACAAACCTGTGAATGTATGTCATATATAACATTTACATATTTAGACCTATTTTCTGCAGTGTTATTGCATATTGAACAACGTGCTATAATATGAACCGTTACTACTTTTCAAATTTGCTGCTTGTTAAAGCATTACCTACGTAACATGTAACTAAATAAAACAAAGCTATTTTATATAGGAAATATGTATTTTACACAATTTATTGCTCCTCACTTTAGCTTTCGATCACATACCTGCATACATAACTAAATAAAACAAAGCTATTTTATATAGGAAATATGTATTTTACACAATTTATTGCTCCTCACTTTAGCTTTCGATCACATACCTGCATACAGTCTAATTTTTTAGAAATCAGCAGAAATGTCATCAAATATGGCCAACTGACATAAAAATATTTTTAGTCTGTGAACTAGTGATGCGACAAAACCTCTCGTTAATCGCGAAGTGAAATGTTGTAGTACTTGCGTATCATCGCCGGGTGATCGTCAAAATACTAAAAATATGCAACAAAGTCGCAACATTGAATGTGAACTGATTATGAAATTTTCGAGAACAGGAAACAAACTGTATGCACAGATGTAATCAAAAAGCACACTGGACAGTAAAACAATCAATGATATCCGTAAAGTTATTAAACTTCTGTTGCTTGCTGTTGCTTGCTGCGTGATTGGTGGATTTTGACATATCTGTCAATGTCATGTCAAAAATAACCAATCATGCAGCATTTGGACCTCGCGTCTAGGTATTGCCATCTGGCGGATTTTTCAATCGCGAAAACCCTCATTGAAAGAAGTTTTTTATTTTCTTAAAAATAAACAATGGAACAATACGTAAGCATAATTGCATAAAAAAGTAAAATAATTTCGTTTAAATAAAACCGACTAAAAATTAAACTGACTCCGAAAAAGTAAACACTAAAAGTAGAAAAATAAATTTACGTTATCTCCAATATTGTCGAAGTTATCGCTGGAAAACTAAGCAAAGTATCGTATATTTTTTATTTAAAATTAATCAGTAATCGGAATAAGTGAATACTTAAAATAATATCGATTAAATTTACAGATTATTGTCTATGACTCACAGGTTACGGCACTGATGTGTCAGAGACAAGTCATAGACAATATATATGTCGCAGTCGGATTGTATAATCCGCCGTTTTACATTACCACTAGGCATTTTACATTACAGCTCTGTTTTGTAATACGGCGGTTCAACGTTTAGGCGGATTGTCATTACGATACGTTCTTCAATACGGCGGCCCACGTTTAGCCGCATCGTACTACTATTTAGATTGTAGGGTGACCATACTTACAAAATAAAACAATGTTTAATGAAAATAAATTTTAATAAGACAGATTTCTTCTCACGATATTCCTTAGTTATTTTCGTTACTTTAAGTAGGTAATACTATATTATATATTAATTGGCTTCTGTCATTTTTTTGTATATTTATAAATCACAGGGGACAGCCATCGCAAAACAAATACATTTTTTTTGAAAGTTAATAATAAATAAAATATTTGGCTTTAGTCATTTTTAAACATAATGAGTAATCACAAGGAAAAAACATATTCAAAGATATCTCAAAATCTTCACCAGCCACTGTCATAATATCATACTTTTTGCACCAATAATATTGAGTAGGATTCCACCGAACACCAGAATCCATAGCCACTTTAGCGGTTTTGTTGTGGGCTATAACCTCCAAAACTCGGTCCCTTGTCCACGGTTTTTTGACTGTTCCACATTGTGAAGAATATAAATTCTACGATTGCAAGTTAAAATTGTTCTTAAACTCACTGTCGACACACATATTTATAACATTTTCTTAATTAGATTCAGAAATAACTCCGTAATTTAGCAACACATTTTCTGCATCCGATGCCATTGTTGTTGTTATGTCAGGCAGCGCCACGGTATTGAAAATGGGAACTAAAAATTGTCAAAGCGGCGGGTAATGACACGCTGTTTTACATTGCGGCTAGCCGTATTGAAGAACGTTTGGCGCCGAATACATTCCGGCGGATTTTCATTCAGCCGTATTCAATCCGCCTAAACGTTGAACCGCCGTATTACAAAACAGAGCTGTAATGTAAAATGCCTAGTGGTAATGTAAAACGGCGGATTATACAATCTGACTGCGACACATACATTATGGCGAATTTCAAAGATGGTGTGGGATATGAAGATTGCAAAAAGGTTAAAACAGCATCATCAACGCAGTGTCCCGTTGTGAGCGTCCAAACAGGAGTTAGCACTGATGCAGTGCAAACGTATTCGAAATATGCGTCAAGTTGGTTTGAAGAAATTTTCATTCCTAGTCTGACAACGTATGGGTATTCCATTGGGTCTGCATCTTTGCCGCCAAAGATCCGCAGTGCGGCTTCAATCACACCGCCTAGGACACTTAAAATGAGTAACACTGGAATCATTTTGAGACTTATTTAGTTTGTAATGAAACAGCTGCTCTTTTGTACATGTATTCTGAACTAAGTTACCTTTTAGCTTCGGTAGAATGGCTAGTTGTTACTTAAAGTAAAACATACTGAACGATGTCCCCATGTACAGCGATCCTAAAATTACTATTTTGCTTTTGTATGAATGAATGAATTTTATATGAATTTTAACACTAGTTTTATGTGCAGTCCAGTAAAGTAGTTATGATTGTTTACAAAACCAATATCAATAAACTAAACTATAGATTGTATTATTATTTTCGTTCAAATGTATTGATGGAAAGTACGCAATAATCGAAAACAATATTAAAATGACTTAGTAATATTTTATTATATCGTTGTCTTATCCTTCGTTATGTGGTGGGTTATCCACCCAATGAAAGGACCGACAGGCGTTAAGACACCAGCAACTCGACTATCTGTCACCGCAAGGTTGTCCACTCGCAAATTGCATTTTATAAACGTTGCTGTATTAACTGCTACGATTCCCGAATGATGAATCAAGGGCCCCCCGGAATCACCCGGACAAAGTGTGGTGGGGATCTGCTGTTTGCATTGTCTGCTAATACACATGTTTGGATAAGTATACGTCAGGTCAATCTTCGGGCATTTTTGGATAAGAACGTCCAAGACTTGCAGCGGCTGACCAAGCTTCAACGTAGTGTCCACTTGGTTGCCCGCCTTAGTGAGGCCTTATCCGACCGCGACAGACGCTTGTCCCATCAGAGAGGGGTACTCCATTGCGCTCAGCTTGCCGTACCAGTCAAGTTTTATTGGCATAGTCTTCAGTAGCCCGACATCGTTACGTAATAATTGGCTTGTTTTTATATTAATAAACTTATACGTTGGATGATTTACTGTAGCGATGACGGCACTAAAACTGTTTTCTGTTGACCCATATCTGATGACTAAACTTATCAATTCCGATTCAAGCAAATGGTGAGCTATCATATAGTCAGCACCGTCAATGCAATGCCCCGCTGTCAGCGTCCAAACGAGGCTCAGCACAGACGCGGTGCACACGTGAATAGACAGGCCCTTGTAACTGTCTTGCAGCTTGACTTTGCCTTGAATTTCCATTCTTACGACATATGGGTATTCGAATGGATACGCGGGTCTGCCGCCGAAGACACGAAGCGTTGGATCGCTAGCGCCTGCTTTTAAGGCATTACAGAATGCAAAAGCTGACACCATTTTTAAGTGGAGATTCTAAAACCAAAACATAACTAAAGTAATAATAACATTTTATCAACACGTAAACAAGTACTTCGTACAACTAGAGATGTAAATTGACTGTATCTGACTGGTCACGAATCACGATGGTCAAAACAAAAGCCATAAATGACCGGTCATTTACTGTCAAATTCAATTGGCGTCATATATTACTGTCTACACCTTGCACAAACTTTGAACTTACTGATCCTGAATTCATTGTGATTGTGGTCTGTATTATATTATTCCTGCTGGACGTGTGAATTTTCAGAAATAAAGTTCATATAGCCTGACCAGGAACATAAAAACCCTGGCATAGAGGCGCGTCCATTGCATTTGATAGTGCAACACTGAGTACAGTCGTACCTGTGTTAAATTAATAGGCTAACTTTATGTATCAGGATTCAGGATTACGGGTTAATTTGATATTTTCATAAATTAACGAAAACATATTATTATAGGTAACCTGTTTTAAATAAATTAAATGAAACCACCAATCGAGCAAGTAGGATTTATTTTATTATTCATCAATAATCAAATTCAGAACTTGAAAATACAACTGCAATGTCTGCTCATGAACGCTTCAAACTCGGTACTTCTTTCCCAATTCCATAAAATTCAACATTAGAAAGTGACAAAAAATTTTAAAATAGGTAGTTGAAACAAACCACAGCTAATTTTCATAGTGGACTGTACTATACGATAAACATGTCAGTCAATTTGACATCCTTTGTCGGAAACATTATTCAATGAAAATATTGTCCGAACCCTTAGTATTTCTCTTCGACAAATACTTTAACACATTGTGAACCACTTTTCTTTCACGACTATGAAAAGATTTTAGCAATTTAATTCACAAAATCAATTGCGCACATTTAAAATAAAGTTTGTTTACACTTTGACAGCAATAGACTGACATGCAAGGTGACATGTCAATGAAGTTTTCAGTTACTGTTGCCATTAAAAGAAATTAGTACCATTAGTTTTCCGCAACATGGCGAGGGTTTTTATGTTCCTGGTCGGGCTATACTAGGTATGTATGTGTCGCAGTCGGATTGTATAATCCGCCGTTTTACATTACCACTAGGCATTTTACATTACAGCTCTGTTTTGTAAAACGGCGGTTCAACGTTTAGGCGGATTGTAATTGCGATACGTTCTTCAATACGGCGGCCCACGTTTAGCCGCATCGTACTACTATAGATTGTAGGGTGACCATACTTACAAAATAAAACAATGTTTAATGAAAATAAATTCTAATAAGACAGATTTTAAGAATTATTACCTTCGTTACTGTATACTAAATAATATATTTGGCTTCAGTATTTTTTTTTTACTTAGTTATAAATCACAAGGGATAGCCATCTAAAAAAAAGTAACTCAAAACAATAGACTTTTCTAAACATTTTAAGAATTAATTAGATATTTGGCTTTAGTCTTTTTTAGACATTAAAAATGATCAAATGGAACAGGTAAACCAAAACAATAAAGTTTTAGTAATTTTTTCTGGGTTATTTTTCTTTAAGATAAAATTATCTTCACCGGCCACAGCCATGATTTCATATTTTTACACTAATAATATTGTGTAGAATTCCGCCGAACACCAGAATCCATAGCCACTTTGTCCGGCAGCGCCACGGTATTAAAAATAGGAACTAAAAACTGTCAAAGCGGCGGGTAATGACACGCTGTTTTACATTACGGCTAGCCGTATTGAAGAACGTTTGACGCCGAATACATTCCGGCGGATTTTCATTCAGCCGTATTCAATTCGGCTAAACGTTAATCCGCCGTATTACAAAACAGAGCTGTAATGCAAAATGCCTAGCTGTAATGTAAAACGGCGGATTATACAATCTGACTGCGACATATGGATCAGCAACGGCACACCGTTCGACCACCGACAATCTCAGTGACATCGTTGCGACTGTTAAGCACCCGGCTTATAATTTACTTAATTTAGTGACCATACAGCTTGGTGCATCAGGATTTAACGACGTTGCACTAGCAAAGACTAAGTCGACGAAATTGACCAAGTACGCAAAGCTGAGTGCGGTTGAGTACCCTTCTCTGGTGGGGCAAGCGGCCATCGCAGTTGGATATGGGATGACATTTGAGGGAGACCAAGTGGACCACACTTTACAACTTGGTAAAACGTTGCAAGTATTGGACGTAATGATAGGGACATGCCCCAAAGATTTTCGCAAAAAAGCTTTTTCTCCCATCATATGCTTGAACAGACTTTGCAGTCAACCCGCTACAAATATCTGTCGTGGTGATTCTGGGGGACCCCTGCTGCACGACTCAGGAATTGTTGGAATTAATCATATGGGTGAATCACACGAATGTACACTGCGATCAGCAAAGTCAGGAGTCATGAAAAGTAGTACTGTCGGGTTCAACATACCGATCAGTCCATATGTGGGATGGATATCTAATCAAATACGAGAAAAGGAAGAAGCCCACTAGATATGGTGGAGTAAAACCCATCTAAATACCTACATCGCGGCTTCATTGCTTACGACTGGGAGACTCCGTCAACATCTAGTGAACTCTAGTGCATTGAACTGAAAATCGTCGGGTTCGATCACTCATAACTCGAGAACTGCTAGACCGATTTTCATGGTTTTTGATTTGCTGTATTTATCCCCGTCCCGAGTAGCAAAAAAACGATTAAAACTTAGGAAATTTGAAAAACGAAAAACATTTTCCCCATACGAAATGTTCCTGGATTTCGTATTTTTTCTACCCGTGTGAAGCCGCATAGCCGGGGCGTACCATACCGCTAGACAAAATGCGAATGGGACGGTCTGCGTCAAATCCGTAATAATAAATCTGAAGGATATTATTATCCTTAAGTACCCAAACAAAAAAAATGAATAAAAGCAAAAAATACTTGTTTAGAATGTTCTTAGTAAAATTCCATTATTTATTTGTTATAATATAATTTACTGTGACTCAGAGGACATACAATAAACAAAATGTAGATGATAACAAAACACTTAAGTAATGGAATGAATAAATAAAGTTCCATTAAAGATTACGTTTGATCCGACGTCGTTTTAATGTGATCGGTAATCCAATTGATGAAAGGGCTCACCGGAGTGATCAGTCCAACAATATTGCTGCTAATCCCCTTTTTTACATGTTTCACTTTGCAATCTGACGATATTCCAGTTGATATGACTCCCAGGATCCCACTGAAATGCATAATGGGACCTCCAGAATCCCCTTTGCAAAGTGAGGAGGGATTTCCACAACGCCTGTTCAAGCATAACCCAGGATATATCATTTTGTTCTTCTTTATGAAGAAAGCACAATCTTGAACAACAACATCTAAAACTTGCAATGCTCTTCCCAGCTGCAGGGTGTTTTTGATTTCTTTTTCCATTAGCATCAATCCATATCCCAACGCTTTCGCGGCTTGCCCAGCCATCGTGTTGTAATCCACAGCGCTCAACTTTGCATAGTGTTCTAACTTTACAGGCAGGGTTTTCAGCAATCCAATGTCATTATGTACCCTAACCCCATTCATAGCATACATAGAAAGGTAAGCAGGATGCATAACATATGATACAATGTCACTAAATTTATCATTCTGTGATGGGATGCCAGAAGGTGACCCATATCTTACAACTCCTTTTGGATCAATAACCCATTTCTCAGTTATGATCAAGTTCAAGTGTTTAATGCAATGACCTGCTGTTAATGACCAAGTGGGTGTTAGGGCTGAAGCGGTACACATGTGGCTGTTTTGCAAAACAAGTTGAGTCTTATTTTTTGCCTTATGCCTTATTTCCATCCTTACAACGTAAGGAAATTCAGTTTGTTCAGCGTCTCTGCCTAGGAGAACACGTAACGCGGAATCGGTAACATCCACACTTAAGAAACATAATATAACAAACACTAACATGTCATTCCATGTGAAAATACAACAAGAATATACATAGGTATTGGTATTGCTTAACTGACTTGTGTAAAAATTATGTTCATGCTTCTAAAGCAATAAAATTCTACATGAAAAAGCAATAAACATTTGGTATATTATTTGCACCAATATTATTAAGGAAGGAAGGCCTTGGGGGAGGCCTTTGTCCGGCAGTGGACGTCATTTGGCTGAAATATTATTAAAGTGGAATAATAAATGCATGTTTTATGTAAAAACATAATTGAACACAAATGTAGTGTTACTAAATAAATTTAAATTAGTGCAAATGTATTTAGGTACATACAAGTATAAAATAACTTTGTGTACTATGATATAATATGTAGTAATCAGATAACTTCTTCATGCGGCACATGATTGATAAGACTTTTAAAATTAAAATGTTGAATAGAATGGATATAGAGCTTGTGATTGATTGAGCTCCAATTACTGTACAATACTATAGTCTGGTCCGTGAGCACGTAGAATTTTGTCCAGTGTTGCAGTGAGTGTGCGAGCACGGCAGCAATATAATAGTTAGGGAGGCGAATAGGGGAATTTTTGGCAATAAATAAATAAAATAAATAAATCTTTGGACAATTTCACACAGCGCCAGCTAGCCCCAAAGTAAGCAACTTAATGCTTGTGTTATGGGTGCTAGCTTAACGGATATACTACTTATATACTGTTTTTTTAAATACATAAATATTATACATAGTCACACCCAGACCCGTCACAGAAATTAAAATTCTTCATTTCAATTTCTGCCCGGCCGGGAATCGAACCCGGGACCTCTCGGCATAGTAGTCCGTTCTGAACCACTACACCAAACGGCCGGCAATACTCGAGCGTGGCAGTTTAAGATATGAGATATACCTTAGACCTAATAGAACAACCTTGTAAAGTATTTAGCTCTATATGTAGTGACGCGCGCCTAGGATCGACGATCAGATTAGTAAAAAAAAATGGATAGTCTGAAATACTCGAGCGCGTCAGATTAAGATATTGGGGGTTGATTTAAGTGTTTAAAGACTAAATTTAACTAATCTGACGATAAGTCCTTGACGCCGCCGAGTTATAGGGTCGCGAACTTGTAAAAAAAAAACGTTAATCCGGCATTCTCGAGCGCGATATTTTTTATTTTATTTTGAAGAATATAATCTAAAACTTACTAAAATACAAAATCTGCCGGTTTCTGCATGACCGGAAGCGTGGAGAAGCCATTTCGTCTTCCTAATAACGCGTTGCGGAATATAAGTCGCGAACGATACATTTTACAAAAAAAAGTTTAAATAAACAAAAAAGGTAACTTTATTACATTCTTAAATTCCCCATTTTATCAAGGAGAAAGAAAGGAAAAAAAAACCAAAAAACCTTTTTCGGTCAGATTAAGAGAACCCACCAACATTTTTGTCAGATTAAAAAAATATGCTTTCAGGATACCGAGATAAACCTCCCCTATGAAAATCTGACGCGCTCGAGTATTTCAAAAAACCTTTTTTTTTGCATTTTCAAAAATTCATCGTAACTTATCGTCACGCCGAAATCGTCAGTTTTTTTAAAGGGAGCTTCCTTGGGGCCTCCTTAACACCCCTTCCGAAAATCTGACGCGCTCGAGTAAATTTTTTTTTTCATTTTTGACTACTTTATATGCCTACCCCCACCACGCAAACCGGCAGATTAGTATACCGTTGTTATCAGAGGCACTCGGGGCATACGTAGTATGAATATCTGACGCGCTCGAGAATGCCGAAGTAACTGTTTTTTTTAAACATTTTTGAAAAACCGTACACGCCAAACCCACCGCTAAAATGGTTTTTGCCATACGAGCTTTTCTTTTCCAAATTATTTTATCTTTCGATTTTCATAGGTCTCGACGGCGCCGTTGAATTACGCCATTTAGCTACCTCGCCTCCCTAACTATAATTACGCGCGAGCGATGAGAATGGGTAGCTTGGGTCATTGGACAAAATTCTATGTGCTCACTGACCGGGCTTTAGCTTGAAAATTGTTTGAATATTTTTGCCCGTTTTCACAACATTTTTTGTTGATGCTCTACTCCTATTGGTCGTAGCATGATAGTGATAGCCTTCCTCGATAAATGGGCTATCCAACACATATATTTTTTCAAATCCGACCAGTAGTTACTGAGATTAGCGCTTTCAACCAGACAAACAAACTCTTCAGCTTTATAATAAGTACTAGTATAAATATTTTTAAGACACACACCTTTTTTCACTGCAGCATCCAAGGCGCAAAGCCCCGTCATGCCGGTGGAGCCGAAGATCACGATTTTCTTCATTCTAGAAGCAATAATATACGTCAGTACCCACAAACAGGATAATTACAAATATCTGCACCGCTAACCGGTCTGGCTCACAGATCACTATATATGTAGCAAGCGTCTGGCTAATCGTCAACAAGTCCCGTCGCCGACCACTTGAGATTTATCAAGAGCATTATCTAACTGATAAAAATTACACACGATTCACGATGAGTCTTTCATCGGAGGTGTGCCCAATCAACAAGTAAAACTTGAATGATATTGACTGATACTGTATTGTGTCGAATGAGAAGAAACAATCAACCAAAATAATGTAATATTTAGGTTTTTTACCTTGTATTTTTATGGTGAAAGGTCGAGAACCGGTGAAGAAACAACTTTATTGCGGGTCACTTGTCACTTGCAGGTAGTGGTGTGTGTGGTGGGGGTGGATGACTTTGACACTGATTGACATTGACAGTATTAAGTTCCGAAATACCCACCACACTTAACCTTTTCAGCGCCAAGTCTTAAGGTCTATACAGTGTGAGTCACGTTAAAGTGTACATATGAAAATAGATGAAACTAGACCTATTTTTATCGACAAAAAAGAAGTCAAAATTTTTTGAGATTTTTTTTAAATTTTTTATATAATTTTTTTTCTTCCAATTACTTATTGTAAGGAAAACGTAATAACTTTTAAACTAAGCAGTATATTCTGATTAAATAAAAACAGTAATAATGCTAAATAACAGGCGATACTAAAAAAAAACATAAAATACACAAAAAAGGCCAACAAATAATAAAAAATGAGACTTTTTGAAAAAAATCTGCTTTTAAATTCGTGTTTTTTTGGTTATTTGATAATTTTCTCCAAAAAATGCCCCTATAACCGATGGTTTTTATTACTTTGTATTATTCTCTATCGTATTACCTTCGTAAAACCAAAAATCGCATGTCTCTATCCCTATCACAACGTTTGCAATGATCGTTTGAACTAAGCCTCTCCGGGCGCGCCATTCAACGCTTCATTAACAACGAAACTGAAAATGGCTCTAGATTTGTAATTTTGATAAAGACAAGTTAGATTTCAAATAAAAACAAAATATTTCGAAGTAAAATAAGCATTTTAGTTAAAATTAAAATTGTCTCTACCTGTAGCGGAGAATAATGTTGTGGCAGGCCTTTGTTCAAACGATCATAGCAAATGTTGTGATAGGGATAGAAACATGCGATTTTTGGTTTTACAAAGATAATACGATAGAGAATAACACAAAGTAATAAAAACCACCTGTTATAGAGGCATTTTTGAAGAAATTTATCAAATAAAAAAAAAACACGAAATTAAAAGCAGATTTTTTTCAAAAAGTATAATTTTTTTATTATTTGTTGGCATTTTTTGTGTATTTTATGTATTTTTTTAGTATCGCCTGTTATTTAGCATTATTACTGTTTTTATTTTATCAGGATATACCTCTTAGTTTAAAAGTTATTACGTTTTCTTTACAATAAGTAATTGGAAGAAAAAAAATCTATAAAAAAAATAAAAAAAATCTCAAAAAAATTTTGACCTCTTTTTTGTCGATAAAAGTAGATCTAGTTTCATCTATTTTCATATGTACACTTTAACGTGACTCACACTGTATAGGAGAAGAGAGAGAGAGTATCTGATTATAATCTAATTACAATATTTCTTAATTTATACATTTTGTGTGTATTTTTACGATTGCCCTTATCACCTTTTGTTAGTTAACCGATTGAGGTGCGATGTGAATAATGTATGTGATGGACGATTGATGAGTCCGGGCGGGACAGTAGTGACAATTAAGAAAATGTTGGCTATTGCGATTTTGCTGTTCGGAAAGTAAACAAATGCCCCTTATTACAATGAATTTTTTTATGTATTTTATTTATGAAATAAATATTATGATTGTAGATATTGTCGTCTTTTAATAAAAAGGCGTGGAGGGTTCGGAACTGCGGAAACGTTTGTCTTCTATAGAAGACCGTGGCGGTGAAAATGTTAATTGTAACTATGTTCTATTCTTATATAAAACGAAACCATGCTCTGTGAACGAAACGTAAACGTAACGTAGTATAATTAATGACAAGTTATAATGGCAGCTGTAGTAACTAAACGCATATAACCTCACTAGTGAAAGATTCTCATGTGTTATTTTATGTGTTTTGAAAAATAAAATCAGTTTATTCAGCATATTAAATAAGTAAAAATGACAGAAACTGAAGAATACTTTCCGCGCGGTGGAAAGAAACCGACAGTAACATATTTTAAACAAAGTAACAATGTAAGTTAGTAAGTAAAGTAACAAAGTAACACCGTAAAATTCTTGGGTCTACCTACATATAGATAGCAATTTAAAATGGCAAAGTCATATAGATTTTGTGTGTAAGAAACTTTCCCAGTCATCATACAGTCTTTACCACTTATCAAAAAAAGTAAATCTCCCTGCGTTGGTCACGTCTTACCATGGCTTCGTAGCTTCCAGATTGAGGTACGCCATAATCTTTTGGGGAAATGCTACTAACTGGGATAGAGTATTTAAGTGTCAAAAAAAGTGTATACGTGCTATGTGTGGCTTGAAGAGAACTGACAGTTGCAAACCTCATTTTCAAAATTTAAAAATAGTGACTATGCCATGCCTTTATATGTATATTTGAGNGAACTCATGGTATGATTTTAATGCAAACTTCATCGATCCACGTTTAAACTCTATCGACTGTAGTATACGAATACAAGTTTTCGATGGCAACTCATGGTAGAGGCACTGTTCTGGCTTGTGACTTTTGACCGATGTTAAGATTTTGTAGCATGCAATTGTATTCATTAGTAGCATGCATGTTAGAATACGTGCGATCTACCGGTAGTATTGGTTAGTAGTGTTAGTACCCCAGTTTTCTCGCTTAACACTTCCTGTTCGAAATCGAAACTTGTTTTCTCGTCTCTAAATCGTGCAGCGTGTCGTTATCAATTGGCTACAGCCATGTCTTGCCTTACATACGGTACCTACCGGTAAGTGAGAGGCGGCAATAGGCAAGGACAGACATATGCACCAAAATCGATCTATTTTTTTTTTTTATTCTTTATTTGATTTGGGGCTTTTATCCACATGGATATGTCAGCCCCATAAAATCGATCTATCAACTTTACAATTTCCTGTTCAATTTTTCAAACAGGACAATAATATAGAGTACCTAAGTACTTTTGAGTGACACATAGGAGCTTTTGCTAATCAAGCTTTAAGAAAATATGTATTTTCATTGTTATTAAACGTATCTAAGAATGTATATCAACTTTTTTTACTTACTTTTTTTTAAGTTTTTCTTTAAACGCGAAAAGCTTATCAAAATACTTATGCTACGAAAGCGTCACAACACCCATAAATACTGACTTTTTTACGTTTATGATTGTAAGACCATCGGGATTGCATGTTTTACCATACAAAGTGAGAACCCAGGCTCGCAAACAATGGCTCTTTCGATCATAACTGATTAGATAATTATTGGAGACAAAACCAATAGGTATGTACTTTTATAATGCCGCGTCATATCTATGATCACAGTTTACGGGCGAAGTTGTATAGAGATGTCGTGACGATGTCTTCTACATATTTAGTTGACATTCAAACGGGAAGATTTTCGAAACGTATAGCAATATGGGCCTCGTTACCTACTAAGCAAGAATGCTTCTTTGAAGATATTTGTATATTATTCTGAGGCGTTTAGAAAATATTTTTATCCTACGCGGAGACATCTTCTCCAAAAGTACATTTCGTAGTTTAAGAATAACATATTTACCTACTCTATCGATAAAGTCACAGTCCAGTACACAATCAGAAAGCTCACAAGCAGTAGGTGCAGCTTTTATTATCATTTACATCAAGTTTTTATATTCGAATTATATTTTAATTAAGTCATAAATCAGAAAAAGTGTTGCTTCAGCAATTGCAAAAAAATATAAAAAATGTAATTAATTATGCAATCGTAAAATTCTGAGATTAGGACGATTTGAGGAAAATGTTTCATTACGTTGTATTACTAACGAGTACGAGAGCAATAAAAATCTTTTATAACCAGCGATATCTTGACACCATAAAGCACTCGAGAGAAAGTAGCGCTATAAAAATAATTGTCGCGTAAGTTAATGAGAATACCCATTGAGAAAACTTTCGACTGAGATCATAAAACAATAACAATCATGAACCGCCTGCGTGCTAGATGCATAATCTTGCATATAAAACGTGAGACAATGATGATGGAAAATATCGCGCTCACCTCCGACTCCCATGTGTCTTTCACGGTTCGCGGCTTGCTCTCCTTCATGTTTCCAGAGAACGTCATTCCGGGGGTGGTTCGGGGTCGTCGCACTCACACTGACCTTCGGCGGGTGCGCCGGGTCCGGGTCATCCACTGTTCACTATCACGTCAAAGAGGGCACTTTGTTTAGCACTGTCGCTTTCTGTTATGGCAGCCGGCGTGTGCACATGGCGCGTGCGGTCGCGCTCTGTCCCGGCACTCACTGGCGGGCGGGCGGTAAGCGGCGCTCTACAGTTAACTTTCTCCCGCGCATAAGCTAAGGCGCCGTCGAAAGTCGCCGCCGCAGCCTCACGGGCACAGCCCTCATTAGTATTTATTTATTGGCGTTTTCTAGCGTAAACACTGCCTCGAACAATGACAAGACGTTTTTGGAAATCAAGAATTTACCTCATTACTTGAAATTTTCTTTTGAACAATAGTAGGTCAACTTGCACAATTTTTAAAACTGATAATCTTAGCACTCTGATAAAAGCAACATGCTATAACAATCAGCGCCAGTTTAATGGAGGTAGAACTATGTACAATCTATAATAATCTAGGTTAGATTGAAAAGAATTACAATTTTAGGCAACGCAAGGCCGGTCTAAAGTTGAAGGTTTGGGTGATGGGTATTGGAGATAAAACAAAACAATCAAGTATAAAACTTAATGTATAATCATGATATTTACAGACTTATGTTATATAAAACAAGTAATTTTATGGCTATCAGTAAATATACTCATTACAGCATGTCATTAATAATTTACACGATATTCAAAATAAAAGCAACAGTATACAGTTTACTGAAGGTAGCAATTATATTAATGTAATAATAGCACAAATGATACGCACGATATCAATGGAAATAAAAGAGATTCCATAATGTACAAGATATTAAAATTATATACAGATATCATTAAAAATAATGTTTATCGATATAATTGCTTTAGAAACATCCTTATCACATTAGACTTTGTTGCCATGTTCATATTTATACGTCCTTTAACGACTCTAAGTAATACAACGTGAGACTTGTATCCTGAAGCTCGTAAAAGCTTCAATCTTTTAAAAAATCCGTATGCATGGTTTTAATAAATTGCATTGTGGTCACAGGCGTATTTATTTATATTCAAGTTTGTAGTACAAATTCCCGCATGAGTATTGTGTGCGCGACAACAACAATGATTATACTTATTGTTACGCAGCTCAGGGAGCACCACCTAGAGTTTTAAAAAAGCGATGATGGATTATACATAATATAATAATATATTATACATAAATGTATGTATTTTCAAAAGTCTAAAGTAATACAAAGTTGCTAAATTAAAAATCGTATCACATTTTAATGGTAAAAGTAATTTTATTTATATACACGCTATATGTGATGTCTGCAGAATTATATTCACACTTGAGACGAATTTGTGTCGGTCAAGACGTACGTACATTATCGCAATATACATTATATACGATAACAATGGCAATATGAAAGCTAGCTAAAAGAATTTAGTTGAGCCTTAGATCTTTGGAATCTGAATGTCTTAATATTATAATATATCGATAAACATCTACATGTTACCTTAATATTTTAATTGCAAATCTAACAAAATCGTTTAGAAAAATAAGTCGTCATTTTGGCTTCCACTTTATTCTATAATGGAATGGTCTCAAGAATAACCATTGTATAAACATTTTGTTGTAACCTGCTATCATTATTTTTCTGCGTATTATGAACCTGTTTGACCTATATTATTGTGAGGTGGCTTAGTAATGCGAACTGCACGGGTGTGCGAGATGATGTTACATGTATAGTAATGCAACAATATCCATTACAACGTCTGCGAGACCAATGACCTCGGCCCTACTTGGTGCGCTTATCATCCCTTAACACTGAGAAGTACTCCTAAGATATCATATTCAACAACAATGTGATTATCGATTGGATCCCGAACACGTCACGACTTCACGAGTAATGGCACCGCTACTGAACAATATATCGTTTTTATAAAAATGATTTATTTAACTGATCCCTATCTATTAGTTACACTACGAAGTAATCACCTATACAGTAATGTAAAAAAATCTCAACATTAAAACTTTAAACAATCGAAACAGACCGACAGCAGAATTATTGCTCATTATATTATCAAGTCATTCTAAATTACAATTACCGTCTTTACCAAAACATACGCAAACATTTACAATATCGAACCATAACGTAATCTCAGAAGGCGTAACATTATTAATTAACACCTACATTTTAGAGTTATTCGATCAATTAATTAGTTGTTTACTTGAATACTTCGTTCAATTTTGAGTACCCTAAATAAGAGCTAGGCTAGAGCGACCAGGAGACCACGAGTGCCCTCAGCCATCCTCTCGGCGCCATGGCCGGCCGCCGACTCTCCCTGTAGGAATAGCAGTACTGGACCATACGCCTTATACGTAAACAATTTCACAAAGTAAACTACCATAATATATCGATTATTATCGGTTACTGCACATCACGCGGAGATTATACAATTACAAAAATTAATGATTATGATATAAATATACATAGGTACTTCGATTTAGAAGCGTATTATGAAAATAACTACTCTTATCAACAAATTTTTAAAATTACAAATATAGATATTTGCATTGTGATAAAAGATAGTAGGTGATATATTAGTCTAAAATACGAAAAAAGAAAACTTTAATCATGCAGAGAAATCTTTAGTTGAGCAAACTAATAGTTGTGCATACTTTTAATAGATACCAAATTGCTACTGAGAGTACTATTTTTATAAATCTTCTATTATACATAAGGAACGGAGTCCCATATTTAATGATTTATTGTTACGTTGCACAGCATTTGGAAGCACTTCTAAGATATTTAGTTCATTAGACTGGAGTGATGAAAGAAATCGAGCGACAAGGTGTCGCACAACCGTAACCAATATAACACCTACGTATATCCTCACGTCAACAAACATTTACAAAACATATCTGGCATTTCCAATTGTATGTAAGAGGCGATTCAGTTGACAGGCGTTTGTGACTGTCGCACAAGTTATGAAAATCAGTGGTAGTATCTCATGGTCTAATCCAGATGGAGAGCGAAAATCCGCTGTGTACTTAGTCATTGCATTTTCGTAAACGTGCAAACAAACGGAAGGCGTCCAACGTAAGTCGCTAACACTACGTAATTCAAAAAGTGAAATTATTTAAAACAATCGAATTGTGACCGTAAAATAGAAATTCAATACGAAATAAATATGTATTCAAATCGAATCTAGCTTAACGACTACGAAGCTAAAAGCTAGCAATATAAGAAAAAATCACAAGACTACAAAAACTCTATAATCGGATACGTCTCACATATCAAAATAATTCACTCGTAAATCTCACAGTTCACCGAGCTTCGAAGCGCATAATCTCGACCACAATAATCAGTATCACTAACCTTTCGCGAAGGTCAATTCAAAGAATGTATAGGTACGCTTAGAATACTTGAACTTAACATAACGTTTTAATAATAATAATTAATAAATTGTACTCGGCAATAACTACGATACAAGAGTTAGGTGAGCGATGGCGGGCGGACACAGGCCCACCGCGCCCGCGCCCGCTGTAAGGCACAGCCGTCATGGCCTATGGAACCTGCGGACAAAAACACGTATGATTCAACACAATTAAACAATACACAGACGGCCGATGACCTAGGCTATACTTATCCATAAGATTTGACACCTGTCAATCTCACAATGCACACAGCTATGACTTTGCTACACGTATGTAGCTTACGGCTATTCAATTATATTGATAAGTAATACCGCGCTTATGCCGACCGTGTGTGCGAAATTGGCTTTAAGAGAAAGCTATTCCCTTTGGAAGCACAGTCATCATTATTACCACTTCAGCCGTGGGTGATCTGTTGCTGAACATAAGCCCATCTTTTAAAGTAAACGAACTATCGCAAGCGGTTTGTATTCAACAAAGCCAAGTTCCTGTTACCTTCGTCACATCGTGGGTCCACAGGCGCTATTTTCGCTTTATGTTATTGTCACGTCATTACTATGTTTATTTTTAAAAAGTATTTTTTATTGTTAGAACATATTACAGTTGAACAAAACCAAACATTAATAAATTAATAAGGAAGAACTTATTAATCCAGATAAACAAACCCGGTCTCAAATGGATAAGACGTCTGACGAAGCGAACAACGAACTTGATTTGTTTAATAAGGAGTGAATGGCAAAGGCGACTACTATCTACTGTAGACACGGAAAGAGGAAAGATAGTGTCGGATAGAATGACACTGAAAACAAATGAACTTTCATATTTTTTACAACAAATATTTCACGTGGTTCGCCCAACTTTATGTGTATACTTAATTGTGGAAACTTAATTATAGATCTAGCGCTAACTAAGTCAGTGCCCGAGGTATGAGAGCGGCACGGAATGTTTTTGTAACGTCAAACGTCTGCGAGGCTTCAGATCTTCCATGTCACCCCTCCCGTGTCGCTCCCATACTTCAGGCCCTGTCTGAGTTAAGCGCTAGGCTTACAGTTTGTGCGTTATTTTACTGCAACTCATTTGAATTACATAAATCGTAGCTGTATGTTTCCCAAATATAAATAAACTAGCGGCCGCCCGCGACTTGGTACGCGTGGACCCCGTTTTTACCCCCTTAGGGGTTATATTTTGGGAAATCCCGTCTTGGTGAGCACTTACGTTCTAAAAGGAATCCCCATGCAAAATTTAAGACTCCTAGCACTCGTAGTTTCTGAGATTTCGTGATGAGTGAGTGAGTCAGTGACTTTTCGCTTTTATAGATAATAAGGGTGGCATACCTCGTGAGGTGCTTGCTTTCCTCGTGCACAGCCATTTCGGAGCTCTTGAACTCGTTGAGTTCGCGGCGGATGGCCGCCTTGTCTCGTGGCGTCAGCCGCGTCCAAGGCTTGTCCGCGCGGCGGTCATAGTCGTGCGCCTAAAATATACAAAAACAAGAAAAACTTAGTAATGCTAGTAATTAAAAAACTCAGTAATGCTGCCTTGATTGTGACTTTTGTTTTATAGATTGACAAAAAAGTAGGTGAAATAAAGCCTCGGCCAAACCAACGCGTTCAGCTTGCAGCTAGGACGCATCAATGTGAACACATTTTTACAAGTTCATAAACAACACCTGATTGCCAGCGTGCACGCTATCGAGCACGCTTTGGTTTGGAAGAAGCTTTACACGCGAATGTGAAAAAACTTATCTGAAATAATAATATGAAAAATGAATTCATCCATACCTGTGTTACTTCGATGTAATCACTAAATCTTATGATCTTCTTCTCTTTGAGTTCATCTACTGTGGGCCGGAAACTGAGCTTGCGTAACAAATACCTCTTCTTCTCTTCCTTTTGTTTCTTTTCTTCAGCGGGTGATTGACCTATAATTCAAACATTAAAACATGTAAATACAAACTTCTGTTTTTACGCTGCACATAATCTATACAACTAAGCATAAATTGATGTCATTGCACCAAAATGCTTATAGCACCTTTAAGCGTATGGAAGATGCTTTATAAAATCTCGGGATTGTTAAACCAATCAGAATAAAAAACACAGTTGCTTTTTAAGTTCAATTCACACCATTCCATATTAGACAACATCGTTAACTTTGCTCAAATGTATATCATAACAGAGAGCGCCGCCCATGCAATGACGACTAAGGACATGAGAAAGTTTTAATTATGTATGTATGTATGCACAACAAGGCAGGTATTTGACCGCAATCGCACCAGGCCCCTAGACAAGTTGCACTTTTTGATCGAATCGAAAATCGAATCCGTCAAAACTCCATACAAAAAAAGGCCTTTCGACAATTTTTGGACTGGTTTGCGATTATAATGTGCACTTTGTCTAGACCCACTGGTGTTAAGTGAGATGTTAAGGCAAATGCACTCACTCTTCAATATGTTCCTCTCGACCAGCTCGTCGGCGGTGGGCCGCATGGACAGGCGGCGGATGAGGCGCGCGCCGATCGCCTCCCACGACTCCTGGCGCTCGTGCTCGCTCTGCACCACCAATATATTTCTGCCAACAAACACTGCACTCAATTTCCTATCACTCTATTTCTTCCCACTTCACTCTGACGTAACTGTCTCGCACCGATGATACAATACCACTAACAATATTTATTCAGTTCACTGCGCGCGCACCCTGCCAGCCGACCGGTAACATTAAATTTGCCAAAAGCTTGCACGGTGCTAAAAATGTTTTAATAACGCCTGATTAACACAATATTTTGGCTATATCCCAAGTCGCTAATAAAGGCTAGCTCCTAATTAATTAACAACTATCGTTTATCACCCCGCAACACTTTTTCCAGTTTACGCTGTCTCTAGTGAGAATGACATACACGCTAGACGTACGAGAAATTACGAAATTTCAAAAAAGTTTTTCGCGCATTTTCAATGTCGATAATTATACATCTAGTAACAATGCCAGTGCCAAGAACGAGCTCTCGGTATCAGGAAGAACGAAACGTCGATAACAATGACTTTGCCCGCCGATGCAAACAAAAATAACACTCCCAGGCGTTCATTGTTGTCAAGCGAACGAAACTCGACACAAAATGTGCGGCCAATTTTTTTGTAACTAATAACATTGAACGTTGTTATCTATAAAATTTATAAACAAACAAACAAGCGTACCGAAGAAACTTCATATCAACTATGAGGTTTAATTAATTGACACCGAGGCACAGTCAACGAGCAGCCGGCCGCGTGGGTACAGCTGGGAGCGAGTTGACACACTCACTGTATTCTTGCGCCGATGACACAATGTTAGTCATCCCATTGCTAATGTATAGGTTACTTTGATTCTGGGTCACACACTGTATAATTTTGGCAATCTAAATAATGGCTAATAAACATAATTTCTCAGACAGTCATTCATGCGCGGTAGTGACCTAAATTTTCGATATTGTTTGTCTATTATTTAATTTTGAAGTAGTCATTTTTAGATTGTTTTTGTAGCAAAAAGATATTAAGTTACATGGGCACGGTGAGATATTGTGCAATTTATTCATAGCATGGTTCTTTTCCTTTCTCAAGAATGGACATTGTCTAAGGATTTTTATTTGTAATGCAATAAAATTAGATTTCAATGTTATTTTTAAACAAGATTGTTATTGTATTAGCATCAACAATAATAAACAATGGATTTTTCCAAAGTACCGGAATTGTGGGTATGAAAACAAATAAAATGGAACAAACAAAATGACCTGTTCAATGTTTTGAGATTTTTCTTATGTTCAGCTTTTACCACTGATATACTCAAGTCACATAATGGCGATATAAATATTTTTAATTACTTGGGTGACAAGTAAAATCGTTTAGTGTCCTCAAATTCTAGAATAGATTAACGGGGTAATGGTTTGAACATAGCCAAAAAGTATTTTTGAATTCGTATCAAAGCAATTTAATTGGCCAGTTGCTGTTCTGAACAGCCTGTTCAAATATTTTTTTGTTTAATTTAATAAAATTCACAGAAATGAAGTCTATTTTTTTAAGACTCATTATGTGAATGAAGGTATATTATTTTTAAAATCAATTTCACGAGTATTAAAAAAATTGGGCTTTTACCTTATTCAAGACCATTTTTTTTATTGATGGTCATCAAGTCATCGCGGTACTAGCCGCCCTCGGGTACTAGCCGTCCTCGGCTGCGCGTTGTCTCTCTTCTCTGGTTAGTGACTAAAGACTGACCTGTTTATAAGCTCCTGTCGGTCGGGCCGCAGCGCCAGCTTGATGTTGAGACTCACTTTGCGAGCCAGCTTGGCGGCCACGCGCTCCGACTCCGTGGCGTAGTCGTCGCGGTACTAGCCGCCCTAGGCCGCGCGTTGTCTCTGTTCTCTGGCTCATGCTAGTGACTGACCTGTTTATAAGCTCCTGGCGGTCGGGCCGCAGCGCCAGCTTGATGTTGAGACTCTCCTTGCGAGCCAGCTTGGCGGCCACGCGTTGTCTCTGTTTTCTAGCTAGTGGCTAATGACTGACCTGTTTATAAGCTCCTGGCGGTCGGGCCGCAGCGCCAGCTTGATGTTGAGGCTCTCCTTGCGGGCCAGCATGGCGGCCACGCGCTCCGATTCCGTGACGTAGTCATCGCGGTACTAGCCGCCCTCGGTCGCGCATTGTCACTGTTTTCTGGCTCTGCTAGTGACTGACCTGTTTATAAGCTCCTGTCGGTCGGGCCGCAGCGCCAGCTTGATGTTGAGGCTCTCCTTGCGGGCCAGCTTGGCGGCCACGCGCTCCGATTCCGTGGCGTAGTCGTCACAGTACTAGCCGCCCTAGGCCGCGCGTTGTCTCTGTTCTCTGGCTAATGCTAGTGGCTGACCTGTTTATAAGCTCCTGTCGGTCGGGCCGCAGCGCCAGCTTGATGTTGAGGCTCTCCTTGCGGGCCAGCTTGGCGGCCACGCGCTCCGATTCTGTGGCGTAGTCGTCGCGGTACTAGCCGCTCTCGGTCCACGGCCGCTCGTGATCTCTGTTCTCTGGCTAATGCTAATGACTGACCTGTTTATAAGCTCCTGTCGGTCGGGCCGCAGCGCCAGCTTGATGTTGAGGCTCTCCTTGCGGGCCAGCTTGGCGGCCACGCGCTCCGACTCCGTGGCGTAGTCGTCGCGGTACTCGCCGCCCTCGGCCCACGGTCGCGCGTTCTCTTTGTTTTCTAGCGCGTTGCCCACGCGCACAGGACGGGTGCTGCACGCGAAAATAGCACTTAGTATTCATGATAACAAGATTTAAATAATGACCATATTTGTGAGAACTATGTAAACGGCTATGGTTTGAAAAACATGAGCGGCCATCTGGTTAAATCAGTGTCCCATCTAACAGGCCACGTAAAATCAATGTTTGTTAAACCGTTCCGCGTTAGAACCAAAGCAGATGATAGACACTGTATTTTAGAGTTCCATCGTCTGCTGAAGCTGCATACTTCAATTTGTTTTCTATCCTTTATTACTACTTAATTACATATAGTAAGATTTAGTTTGACGATGCTATTTTTTACGTATCAATTCAACTAAATCAATAATAAGTACCAGCAGTATGAAGCATTTTGACCCAGCAAATACATGTTACAGGCAAATGGCATTTTTTAAAAGATAAAATAAATTTGTAACATAAAAAATCAAATAATTAGGTCATAGTTTTCATCCTTGCATGTACAAACATCGATAACAAACTAACATTATGTATAATTTTACTGTTTATATTACCTATTGATTAACAAGCCAAACATAACAACATGAACAAAAAACTAAGTCGAAAGGAAACTAAATAATACCTAGATCTGGTAGTCATAAAACAGAAGAAATTATACTAAGTCATAAATTAAATAACATTTACATGCAACACATAACAACAAGATATAAGTTAAATTATAGTTTAGATAAATGCTCAAGACATACATTCATTAACAACAAATGATTAATGATTGTCAAGATAAGTACATAATATAGGTTTGAACATTGATACGAAAGTGTCTGTAAGTATTTTTAGACCATTTCATCGCAGTGACGATTTTGATAATGGTCTAGAAATCATGTAAAGCGTCACAACACTCGGTGAGTTAGTGGGTGTTCACATCTATATTGGCGTACGGGCGGAGAGCGTTAGACACATCGAACAGTTAGGAAATACTCAAGACAGATGATAGACGGAAGCGTGCGATGCACGATGCATGGACTAAAGGCGAAGCGGGCCGTCGGAAGGCCTCTGGGCGATATGGCGTGATTCGACAACACTGACGTAACGTCTGGGACCATTACCATATGCGAATCCTCGGTTTAGGCGGCGGCCGCCTGCGAGCCGGCACATTATGGAAATAAACGAATTACTTCACAAGTATGCCCAAAACCAATACACTGAGTCGATTACAAATAACAATGAAAGTTTAGGTGTGTCCTAAAAATTTTACACGTGAGTTAATTCAATTCAAGTACATTTTTGATTTTGATACTTTAACAGTTCATATTACATGTAACATGGAAGCCTAGATCATGAATGAAAGTTAACTGGATACAAGAGCTAGCTGTATGCTATAGTACAAGTCAGTTTGTGAATCGTAGCCCACGTTATATCTCTCACTCACTTGAAGCTGGCATGGTGATGGTCTTGTCGCGGCGCGAGCGGCGTGGCGGCGGGCGAGGCGGCGGGCGCGGGCCGCTTCTTGAGCGCAGACTTGAGCGGCACCGCGTTGAAGCTCGGCTCCTTGGGTGGGATCTCTTCTACTCTGTTGGTGTCCGCGCCTAGGTTTAAGGGTTCAATATCTTCCTCCTGTTCGTCCTCCTCTTCGGCTGGGTGAAGGGAAAATTAATAATGAACTATACGAACTTACTGAGACAACATTCGATAAGTTACTGGTGGTTGAACTTTTCAACTCTAACCAAATCTTAACGTTTCAGAATTTAGTAATTTAATTAACAGTGTTTATCGCTGTTAAACCAAAAACTTAACGAATTTGAGTAAGAGAATTCTTATGCCCAGTTAAGAAGTTATGTCGTAAGAGTTAATAACGACAGATAATCACAGGGGGCTGAGATTATAACTGTATATTTCATCGACACAAGTATCAAGACTACGCAATCTTGTATACATTAATACAACAAGTACCCAATCTGTATGAATTACCGGGAAATGCGGTTATTGGAACTAAAACAACAACTGAAGGTAATTTACATTTTAGAATAAAACAGGTCATTGGACCGTATTGGAATACGTAAACCAAAAGATTCCGTAATAAACTAATTACATAATTAGATTTGAAAAATAATTGGATTCTGCTCAAAATAGAACTATTTGACTTTGCGAAATGTCAATCCACCAACGTAATCCAATTATAGAATTTTATATTGAAGATTAATAAGATTTATAAATAAATGTAAGTAAAGTAAATCTGATTAAAAAGAATAATTATAAATAAATTTAATAATTAGGAATATGACTGACAGAATAATTTAATGGTTCAATGATTTGATCATCTTCGTTGTTGTCCGATAGAAATTTTGCCGCAGTCTCGGTGCCGTGAAGCTGTGAGGTAACTTACAGTCAGAGAGAGGATGTTGAATGATGGCGTGTTGGTGGTGGTGATGTTGGTGCTGGTGCCTCGTAGGGCTGGGCGAGCTGAACATGGGCGGCGGCGGGATGGGCCCGATCTCGGACACCGCGATCGGCGGCTCCGGCAGCTCTGAGAGCACCAGCGGCTCGTCGCCGCCGTCGCCGCCGCCGCCCCCGCCCCTGTCGACGCCCGAAGACCCGTACCCACCTACTGGAATCACATGTTGAAGTCAACTTAGAAATAGACTTGGCGAACTTCGTACAGCCCATGTTTGTCGCGGAAGTCTAAGGCTAAGGCCGGATACTCGCGACACCTCCACTCGGGCGATGCGGAACGCCGCGGAGGTTTTAGTGGTTATACCGTCTTTTTCAGTGCGCCGGGAGTCCCACACTCAACCCTGTCCTCCGGTAGTGGTGCGCAAAAAATTCCTCCGCGTCAAAAAAAGCCTATGATCATCAAAAATGTTGTAGAATTCCAGTGGTGATTTTTTTTTCAAATCGGGAGCCTATTCAATACAAAAACGAATAACCAAATCTTTCCTCTTTGTAATATTAGTGTACCTAGACTAGATAAGGCTGGTGGAGAAGCAGAGATTCTGGACGCATATCAGTGTGTTTGTGTAAACATTTGAGCGTGCACATTGGTGCTGACCTTGGCAAGTGGAAAAACAAAATGTACAGTGTCACAAATATTTATTTCCGTGCATGTACGTAATTAAGTACTATAGCATACACGTACAAGACAGCAGAGGCAGCGAAAGAGGCTAAAAGTGATGATAATGTTGGATATTAAATACATTATTTTAAAACAATGAAGAGTATTTATTAACGAATAGAGTATATTAATGCAATTACTGCAATATAAAAGGTTTGTATGTGTGTAGTAGGTATATTTTAATCAATAAAGATTTAAGTATTCCACCTGCCTTGACAGCCCTTATTAAAATTAATCAAGGATTTGGCTGAATGTAATTTTGTACGTGTAATTACGAGGTCTCTTCAATTAATATAAAGGTTAGATTAATCTCGTTTCTCTGGAAAATTCTCATAAATGTTTACTCTTTTATAAAATGTGAAAAGTTATACTGGAATTGGATAGATTGACAAAACAATGTTGCTTATATTTCATTACCGGTCAAGTTTCCTCCTTCTATTTCCAAGAAAAGGAACAAATTAAATCAAACTCAGAGCAAAGACCTCTATTCTATGTGTAAGTTTTTGCCAACAAGTCCCTTTTACTCTGTGATTAAAGCTTGTGTTAACCCTCCGAGAGTAATAAAGTACCTAACAATAAAGGTAGCGAGTAATTATGACATAATTAACGAAGCTAAAATAGAAGGTGCGTAATTAAAATTTCTCCTTTTACAGTCGTTGATTGATAAATCAATACCCACCAACGTCTCCTTGATAGCATATCCGCCGCGGAAGCTTTCCTGCTGTCAAGGAGTTCGGCCGCTCGGGCCTCATCAGCTCACCGCCATTTTCCAATTTGTCTTTCTTTGGTTCTGAAAAAAAAAAATCATACTGTAAGACTTATCGCTCGACAAACGAATCATTATTAGATTAATCGTTTATTTTTACAAGACTTTATACATTGCTAATGAATGAATCTGTACGTAACGTTGTTCCGTTGGCGTACGATCCATTGATTCATTATCTTTAATTCATTAACGAGAGTCGATTGCTTAATAGCAGCGAATCGTAAATGTTTGGAAGGCGTATTTATTTTATGTGTCGGTAGTGTGCGAGGATGCGTCAATACAGCTCCATGGGCGGCCAAGGCCGGCGGCGGTGAATGGAGGCGCGTGCCACGCGGCGTCACTCGACTATTCGTCTATTATTAGCATATCCACGGTACTACCACTATACTAGGTATAGTGTTGACGAACATTTCAAAAGCTGATGATATTCACGCCTCGAAATATCTCAGCGTTAAATTCAAGTACAAGTCTAGCAAACAACACGTTAACAAACTTGCGAACTTAATCATAGCCTTTGACCTCGTTGCGTTCCAACGAACCTTGAAGATAGATCAACATTATTAAGATAGAATACAATTTGGCACACATTATTTACGAAGGGGAGATTGAGGAGGCATGAGCGTAAATATGCGAAATAACCAAATCAAATTCATGTTTCTTCACGGTTCATTAGAATGTGTATGAATCATAACACTGTAACGTATTTCTAATTGATACTACTAGAATGTGTTTCATCTTAAAGCTAAATAAGTGGGTTTGAATGAACTGTGTGTGTAGAGTATAAATAACTTTAAGTAATTAAACCTAGAGAACATCAGGTAATTAAATTTTATATATCTAAACAGAAATGTGAAATAACACATTGTTTGTATCCTAACGCAAGTAAACACAAGACGAAGTTACGGCGCTGTAAATCTGTTGTAGAGTCGATACAATACTGTAAAAACATAACGTGTGTACAAAGTTCGACACAAATGGATCAATCACCCTATTCAAATGTGCCGGTGCTCACATGAAGCAATGTTGCTGCGGCACCTGGCGGCGCCGACACCGCCGTTTTCATTTTCATGACCCACTAAGGCTTCATTGCTCAAATAAAGTTACATCATAAACTGTTTCGGGGTTAGATACATTTGACAAATTGCAGCTCTAAGCCGCAAAATAAACATTCACCATTTCTAGCAAAAGTTTAGCTTACAAATGCTTGTAATCTTATTCGTTTACGTAATTTCATGAACAACAAAATGATGACGTCGTTAGCCGTAACCATTATTTAACCTGTATTTTTAATATAAAGAAGATCAGAAGATTTTTGTGGGAAACACACACAAAGCACATAAAAATTAATAGGCTATCACAAAGGCAATATCAATTCCAATATTCAGTCAAGTGCCTACTCAATATGAGTTCAAAGAGCGAGTGCGGGTGGCTTGTTGAAGTAATCGTGATCGTAATTGTTACTGTTTCGGTGGTATTGAGGTTCGGGGTGTTTATTCAACAGGCGGGCCACCGGGGCGTGCGCGAGCGCGCTGGCACCCCGATCGATGGAGCCGCCCTTGGCCGATCCTCCCTCGCCCGAGACGGCCACGCTGCAGCGTTATGTAACGCCATCTCCCAACACGTGCTATTGAACCTCGCCGCGGACATTCCAAGGACACAGTTACCACCACCATTAATCAATTGAACAACCTTGAGGGTGCGAACATCTCGAGCAACGTTTTGAAGCGATATTGCGTTCTTGGTTATTGTAAGACTACCAATGGAAATTATTTCTAAACAAATATTATTTATCATTTTGCTGGCAGCGGTCCGGAAATTTGACGTGAAGAATCTCCGATCGAACGTTTTTCACGTTACGTCGATCGTCGTTGATTTTGGGAAGGCCGTGTCGTGGAAATAGGATGATGTAATTAGTGAGATATTTCAATAGCGCGAAGGATGAACTAGTAATAGCACACGCAATGTCAAGAGTACGAGAGGTGGACACGCGCTACATGCACGCTCGCGCTCTCGTCGTGTCGCGTAAAACGCCAACAACACGACCACGAGCTCGTTAAAAATACATTTAGCGCTACAGAAGAGAAAACATTTGCACTGACGCGTTAGGCATTTGGCCTGTTTACGAGTGTTAAACGAATACTTTAATACAGTGTTTTGGAGCTTTTCATTCGCCCACAAAAACAAAATTACTGTCGACATTCTTGAAAAAGTTATTACTCTCCTAAGAGAATGTTCCAACCGCGCAGTCTAAAGCGACATCGTTGTTTAGGTATAACTTCAAAGGACGCGCTGCGGTCATTTTATTTTATGTTACGATTTAGTTTGCGATTGATGTTTATTTAGCTAGTAGTGAAACTACTGATTATTCCATAATAAACAAAATATTCAAAGATTTATTTTCAGAGATAACTCAATCAATATTAACACTCATTTCACATTAACTGTATTCATACATGTCAATAAATTCCATTAACGCAAAAGCAAGTTTAATTTAAAAAAGTGATTAGTTTTAAATTCCACGATAATTTTTAATGTTGCTTGCTAAAGCTGAAATATTTTTCACTTTCAACATTGCTTAGAAGTCAAGAATGCGAAAGTATAGAACACAAGACATAAAGAGGCCAATAAAATTAGTGAAACCAATATAAGTGGGTCGCGGAGTAACGGCTCGCGCGGAATTCACGTTACAGAAGAGTTTAAAAAATCGCTAGAGACAGTGACGAGTGCCACGTGGGCGGACGACGACGGGTGCGGTAATAATGTTCTTCTAATAAGAGCAATTTTAAAAAGACTGATAAAAGTATATTAAGTTTTATAAAAAACTCCACTAAGTACCAACTTTAGGTCCATAACGTGGACAACGCAGTCGAGTGTTATCTTCCAAAATCCAAACTCTACCTTTTCACGTTTAATCCACTGAACCGATTTAGATGATATTAGGTTACTTTGTGACTCAAAGAAAATCATTGTATTTAGTTTGTATCCCGATTTTTTAAAGGGATCCGCGCGATAGTTTTTCCATGACAGACCGCAATAAACACGCGCGAAGCCGCGGGCAAAAGCTAGTTTTAATGAAATCGGTTAAAAATATTGAAATATGGCTTCTCGGTACAAGATAATGCATTAACTCGATCGGCTGTAATAAATTTTTACAACGATTGCGATCAGAACCACTATGCTAACCCGATTAATCTCGAGCGTATTGTGCAAACATAGTTTATTCGAACATGACTGAGAACAGTATCAGAAGATAACTATAAATAATATCTTCACTTCCACTGGCCTGTATTCTAACAATTTAAATATACCCCACTATATTATAGTATCAAGTTTAATATTTATAAATAATTTATTTCGTTAACTTGAGTAGAGCGGAAAATCAGTACAGGCAGTACTTCAATTACACAATTTATATATTAACATAATTTTAATTATCCAATTGAAGCTTGACGTTTTGAATTCATGACACCTAATTTAAATGATTGTTAAATCCATTTATAGTGTGTAATCAGCTGTTACTTAAACAATAATTTAGTACTTGAAATTGCCTGTGTATGTGTTTCATTCATAAATTGCTGAAAATTTCTACAATAAAGGGAATGTAATTATTAAACTAATTTAATTAAATAATAATTATAATCAATTAATTAATCCAAGTTAAAAATGTCTTGATTTAAGTACAATGTATGTTATACAATTTTATAACACATGCTCTTTAAAGTGTAACGAAAGCATGAGCCAACTCGTAAACATCATCATAATCCGCATTTAAATGTTTTATGTTTATATGCTACCGTGAGCAACAAATGGAATCTGTCATGGTGACCATTGACCTACTAACATATTTTTGAGTCTCATTATGTTTTTCAGCATTCATCATTTTGTTTTAATTGTCAACTATAATATTCTGGCATACCATTAAAAGTGGCTTTCTACGCATGCTAACCGCTAGCATACTCGTAAGATGAATTTTTCAGTAGTTGAAAGGCCCGTATCTCGATACATCATAGAATGGTAACCTAGTTTTATTACCAGAGTCCGAAGTTTATCGCAGGTTTTCATCCGATAGGTAACAATGTTGTGTTTACAGTACACCGACTAGAAGTAGATAAAAGTTTAACAAGCGCAAACAAAGCGTTCAATCGAGCAGCAGTTATCGCGGGCGGCCGCTGCACAACGGAAGCGGCGGCGGGCGGTGGGTCAAGGCCGCGACCGCCCGCCCTAGCTGCGGGAATCTGCCCTTCTCATACCCCGAATTATTGCCTTTGCTTTATCCCAATATCCGCACAATCTCGGCTCTCGTAAATATTTAACAAAGTGGTCCTATCACCTGATATTGCAGTATGAATAAATACATCGCATCACGTGGGAATGCGAAACCACAAGCAATTGAAGTTCGTTTTACGAGTGACCAAAACGCGATTCCTTCATGAAAGTTGATAGGAAAATTATATTATTTTTCAGCAGATATTCCTACTTGATTTTAGTTGAAAAGCAATTTATTCTTTTACAATAATGTTATCTTGAAATCAAAGTTTACGGCATAACAGTTATTATCATAATCTCCAACATTGTTGACTTTTAATTTAACTTTCTGTTTATGGTAAAAATTGGGCGATTGATTTTCCAATGCTTCCTTTTTAGGGTTCCGTAGCCAAAATGGCAAAAACGGAACCCTTATAGTTTCGTCATGTCCGTCTGTCCGTCTGTCCGTCTGTCACAGCCGATTTACTCGGAAACTATAAGTACTACAGTGATGAAATTTGATGGGAATATGTGTTGTATGAACCGCTACAAAATTATGACACTAAATAGTAAAAAAAAGAATTGGGGGTGGGGCCCCCCATACATGTAACTGAGGGATGAAAATTTTTTTTTCGATGTACATACCCGTGTGGGGTATCAATGGAAAGGTCTTTTAAAATGATATAAAGTTTTCTAAAAAACATTTTTCTTAAAGTGAACGGTTTTTGAGATATCAGCTCTCAAAGTCGTAAAAAGTATGTCCCCCCCCCTCTATTTTT